ATTATTATTATTCATTGCCCTCATGCTACTGCAACCAGTTTCACTGCCTGGAAGTAGGTCATATGATTTGCAACCATCAAGGGCATTCAAGTCCATACAAGAGCTCCATCTCCCTCATTCAATGCACTTAGAAGTGGCTGGACTACAGTTCCCATTAGCCCTGGCCGGCATGACCAATAGCCAGGGATGATGGGAGTTGTAGTCTAACAATATCTGCAGGGCACCACACTCACTACCCATGCAGCTGAAGCCATCGCCTAGGAGCGTTATTTAGATTTGTGGCCTTTTCCAGAGTTGCGATCCTTCTTTAAACGCAATCTATGGCATGAGAATCACTTTTCATTCACCACCCCGACTTTCCTCTCCCCAGTTTTCTGATGCTTTTTTCTGGTGCAGTCATGGATGCACAATGGCAGCCATATTATCCCCTTGCACAGACAATGTGCATGTCTCTCCCCGACCCCTTTGCACTCAACTCTTTCCTTAACAACCAGCAGCAAAGGAAACCATTTTCAAAAGAACAGGGAATGGTGGCAGTAGTGCTGGTGCAGATCCACCTAAAACCAGGTGGCAATTCCACCAGTTGAAGGTCAATGATGGGAGGTTTCTAAAGTGTGGTCCGTGGACCACCAGTGGTCTATGAGTTTCATTCCAGTGGTCCATGGAAGATGCAGAAGTAAGAGGCTCTGCCTTCCTCGGAGGAACAAAGCCATGGCTGACGGCTTGGTGGGGGAAGGTCCCAAGCAGGGTAAAGAAGCTGGCGAGGTTCTTGAAAGGAGTTGGGGGGGGTCTATGCATGGCAAAGAAGGAAGCTGCAGGAAAGAGGGGAGGTCCTTAAGGAGAGAGCACAAGCAAGGCACAGGTGGGGGAAAACATTAAGTTGTCCGCCAAGACCAGGGGTCAGCAAACTTTTTCAGCAAGGGGCCGGTCCACTGTCCCTCAGACCTTGGGGTGGGGCAGATTATATTTTTTTGGGGGGGATGAATGAATTCATGTGCCCCACAAATAACCCAGAGATGCATTTTAAATAAAAGGGCACATTCTACTCATGTAAAAACACTCTGATTCCCGGACCGTCTGTGGGCTGGATTTAGAAGGCGACTGGGCCTGATCCGGGCCTTAGTTTGCCTATCCGTGCTGACTAGCAGATGGCAGGCTGAGCTTGCTAGGGAAGGGCCCCATTCACTCTGATGGACCATCCTTCGTTGTCTGCACCTTCAATCTGAAGCTAGCAGGGATATGGGCAGGGATAGGACTTCTGGAGCGAACCAGTGGCAGTTCTGCACTCACGAGCTGAGATGCTATTTGATTGTCAGCTTCTTCCTCAGCATTCTTAGCTTCTACCGATGGCCAAGACCCTCAGCAATTTTCACCTGGCCTTGGGGAAGGGAGTCAAATTTGGGAGCCACTGTGGGAATATTCAGGGTGGCAGGAGAGGCTATATTGTTTATTAATATCCTTCCTAACTTGCGCTGGCAAGTTCCTTTATGTAGCAGAGTTACATTCCCCTTTTTACATGCACAGCAGATAGCTGCTTGCAGGCTCGTGTGAGCCTCTCACTATTATACAATTCAGTCTGTCTCAGATTGAATTGTACGTTCCTGGTAAGCTCCCTTGAATCCCTCTTAAAAGAATAAAGACGTGACAATCTTTTTCAAAGTCAGTAAAAGAAGTTTACTCACATCAGTTCACAGTTGGATTCCGGAAGGCAGACTTAGTTACAAATATGTACATGTGGATCTACCCCTTATGGGGGGATAATGGCAGTGCTTCTGCTAGCTGAGAGCTAGCAGATCAGTCCTAGCTGAAAGCTGGTCAAATGAAGAAGGAAGTCAAAAAAAGAGGAAGTGTGCTGTGTGACTGGTCCTTTTGTTACCTGGACAAGTAAAGCCACGCCCACCTTCTACCACATGCAAAAGGAAGGATGCTCCAGCCAGGAGGAACAGGACGTTTCGACTGGCTGGACCAAACATTCCCTCGCTTGTCTTCTCTAGCGTTACAAGGAATGTTGTACTTGACTGCCTCTCATGGATCACTTCCCATAGCCACTGCCCTTGACAATCTCTAAAATATATTCTGATCCGTGATCCATCCTTGTTTACAGTTGGTTCAAGGGATCCTGACCAGGCTGGCCCATTCATGAGGAATGCATCAAACCGTGCTTCTGCTTTCTCCTTGGCAGCCCCCCCTCCCTGCCCAGTGCCACCTCTACACTAGACCCTTGGCAAATAGGAGGTGCTGGTGGTCTCCTCCCATCCCTAAGGAGGAAATAGTGGGGTCTACCCTCTGGGGTCTCCCAAGCTCTGCAGCAACCCAGTGTGATTCAGAGCAAGCCCTTCTCCTTGCCATTGTCTTTGATCAACTTCAAAGGTTGATTAGATCCCTGTGTTTCTGCTGTATGCCATGTTTCTACGGGATTTGCCTGATGTGTGTGTGGGGGGGGAGAGAGACATGCATTTTGCCTTGTGAGCCCACCCAATTCACACTTCCCGAAGCAATATGCCAACCGAAATGTAGGCGCCCTTCCAAAATCTGCTTTCCTCTGAATTTTGCAATGCAGTCAAAATACGGTCTCCGAAAATGCATACGTTCGGAGAGCGTGCGCATATAAATGCAAATACTGGTCAAAGTAACGTACAACTGTTGTGTTATACATGGTGGAATTGCTTGCAAATGTGCATTCATTAGGGGAAAGGTGCACTAAAGCTCTAACGATTTTTCATGATTTGTTGCGAAACTTTGTCGCGAAATTTTGAACGAAAAATTCACGAACTGGGGCAAAAATATGGCGAACCGGATTTAAGGAAAATAAGCAGAAATTGGACAGATTTGTCGGCTGCTGCTAAGATCCATTCTGCTGCCATCGTGATTATTAGGAGCATTAACTCATTCCAGAGTGTTCCTGTTTCATGGAATAGATGCATGTAAAACCTTAAAACTGCAAAGAAGCACAGAACTCAAATCCCGCTGCCTCTCCATGCTTCCAAGGATAAAGTCACACAATGATATTTCTCTCTACATTTTTTATTTCTCCGGGAAAAGTTTGCTCTCTTTCTCATGGTGTTTGCCTTGGGATGCCTTCCCTTTGGAATCTTCTTGGTCCTTATTTTAAAACCCAGAAGTTGAGAGGTTGGCCTGTTAAACATACATGCATGCATACGCACACATTTATATGCAGCGGTAATTACAGCTTCTAAAAACTGCAACGTATCTTGTGTGCTGTTGTCACGATGTTGCTTCTTTTTCCAACCAACGTGGCTCTTCACGCTTTCGAACAGTCATGGAAGTTTGCCATTCTTATTTTTTTTTAAAAAAAAAGAAAAATGCCCTTGAGGTCCATCAGTGAGACAGAGTATACTAGCTAATAAGAAATCTGCCTTTGGATTTTTCCCTGAGCTTCCTGGAATGCTTTTATTTGAGTCACAACAACAAAGCAATCTTTGCAACTGGGATTTGATGGGTTCGATCATTCAAACCTTTGTGAAATAAGTGGTGGAAAGTTTGAGGGAGTCGTTTTTATTGATCAAAGGTTTGGGATACTCTTAGGGAAGTCTCGCTGAGGTTTCAGATTGGGATAGAAAGAGAAATATTGTGATTTTCTTTCTTTCTTTCTTATTCACATCAGTACAAATAAAGGGACGGTTTGGAACGTGGGTAACATTGTGTACAATGGGAAAAACAACTTTGTATGGTTTTAACAATGTGTTTCAGGCTGCTATGTGCACATGTGAAAACTACCCTGCTCTGTTACACATCCTAACAGACAGGCAGCCATGAATATAGGTAAGCTCAGTGCTTTTTAACAGCAATGTTAAAAAGCATGGCACTTACTCCTGATGAGTACCGGCACTGGGTAAGCCATATCACACAGTGAAACACATGCACTGGTAGCCTTCCTGTTGTTGTTTTTCACAGGGAGGGTGGTCAAAAATGGAAAGCCAAAACCCTGATACTTTGAGACACCCGACCGCAACCCTGTACTACCTGTGATCATAACTCATCGCTCCATTAGTGACTGCATTGCATGCAAGTTAAATCCCACCGATTTTTTCTATGGAATTCCCAAGCAAGATATGTTTTACTTCGCTGGGGTTGTAAACAAGACCAACTCCAGAACTTTCTTCTTTTCAAGCTGTCATAAGCAAATGTTTCCTGACGCAGAATCTCAGGTGTACTGCGATTCACCTACAGAGTCCCCATATGCATATGGTGTAGAAAAGGAACAGGGGGAACTTCGAAGGTCAGGAAATTCTGTGCAGAGCTGCTAAACACAGAGGGAGTTGAAGAGATATTCCTTTCCCCTGCAGTTTTGCCTATTTGCTTCTTTTCTTTTGGTCCTTTGTAGATCATTTCAAGCTCCCTTCTCATTTTTTAATAGGACACTCTCCAAGCCACTATATACACTTTAAAGGTGTGTATATGAAATTAAGCGGCAATTATTTTTGAAAGGACAGCGAGAAAGAGCACAAGGCGGCGAAAGAAAGGATGGATATAAAATTAAAGCAAACAACAACATAGCAAGGATCAGATCGCATTTAGAGGAAGTTTGCAGGATCCCCAGAGTTTGGCTTTTTCTGTACTTAGAGAAGAAGAGAAAACAAGAACAAACAAATACACACTTTGCTCTACATCTCCCTCTGGTGCCTCACCTTCACAGGTGCGCTACTAGGTCGCACAAAACCTGCAAGCTCCATCTCACTACTATCTGATCTTGCATGCCTCTTAGTATTCAGCTTTTTTCTTCCTAACTCTCCTGTAACTCCTATTCTTCAAATCAGTCTGCTCCCACTTTTCTTTTAACTCCCCCAGTCCACATACATCCATACACAAACGCATAAGCACCCTTCAATTCATACCCCATTACATTCCTCCCTCTTCCTGCAGAATCTACTGCCAACCCAGAAGATCCACTGGTTTTCTGGAAGAGAGGCTAGCGGGGTCCATTCTTTTTGTGATTGGTTAGAAAGGGGCTTGGCTTCGCTTCTCCACTTTTTGGGAGTGGGTGCGTGTGTGTGTGTCTGCGTGTCTGTGTGCGCCTTGGGGGCAGGCTGGGCTCCTCTGATTGGCTGAGGGGCTGGCCCAAGATCTCCCCCTCAGCACTCAGAAGCAAGCGAAGAAGGGATCCACCTCTGGGACACTGGACCGTATAAAAAGGGAGGCTAAAAACTTGACAGAGTCAGTAGGAAGTTTCTGCTGGGGTCTGGAGTGGAACTACATAAACCAGACCATCCCTGTATGACTGGACACTAAAGCAGAACCAAGGATACAAAGAGTCTTCATGTCTAATATTTAGACATGTTCAGCTTTGTGGATTCCCGGTTACTGCTCTTGATAGCAGCAACTGTTCTACTCACCAAAGGTCAAGGCGAAGAAGACCGTAAGTACAGCATCTTATGTACTCTGGCACAGTGTATACATGTTAAATGACAGTTTTTATTGTAGTCCTATGGATGGGGTGGTACTTGCCCCCATATTTCCTTCCCCCCATCTCTTTCTGTCGAATGCAAAACTATTTCCCCCCTCTGCGCCACCCAGAACTCCAGAAGTGCAAAAGACAGTAAGCACCAAATCATTTCTACCGAGCAGTTTGCCAAAGTCGGGGGAGAGGGGCGGCGGTGGCGGCTGAGTTGTGATTTTGCAATCTGTGCTTCCCTGTGGTTGTAATACTCGCAGCGTGTTGCGGTGGCTTGAGAGATGTAGATATAAGACCAGGCAAAGAGAGCGCTTGTTATATACGGTCTTGAGATTCCTTTAAAAAAGGAATTAAAAATTTTTTGAGAAAGGTCAACACACGTTTGTGACCTTTCCGAACCTTCAGGAGTTGGCATGAAGGCAATGCGGGGAGGAAGGCTTAAGAGACTGAAAAAGAAGGTATCTCTCGCACCTCGCAGATTTCTCCTGAAAGTGCTCTACGGAGAAAACAAACCACTCTTCTAAAAGCAAAATTAGCCAGCTGTGCATAGCCTTGGGCGTGTTTCCTTTGGTCTCTCTCCCCCCCTCCCCCCTCCTTCTCTTCTCTTAACATGTCCCTTGGGGCCAGATAACAAGTTGGATCAATTAGAATCTCTGCACTGGCTTGCCAAGTTCAGGAAAGAGGGGCGGGAACTGCAACTGGGTTGTCACTGGAGGGGGGACAGGAAAGGGGAGCGCGGCAAATGATGGAAAACTCATTGTGCGTTTGGAAAGCCAAACGCTTGACAGGGAGGAGAGGCGAGGAGGACAAAGCTGTTTTCCCTGCCTTGTCGAAGAAGTCTGCAAAAGCCATCAGGAAAATATTAGGGGGGGGGGGGAGAGAAGGAGGAGGAGAGAGAGAGAAGTTTCAGGATGATTCATAAGGAAAATGTTTCAGAAACTTATAAAGCGCAGGAGTCTAGACATCACTTCATAGACAAAGCCTTTTGGATGGTAAAGGATTGGAGGGAATCACTTTTGCTCACCGACCAAGTCCAATGGCGACATCTACTGGCCATCAAGGGACTCGCTTGTCCTTGGCATTCTTCTATAGACTTGCCAGGGGTGGGGTTGTGGGGAGTGGCCTTAAAATGGGTCAGCAATGATCAAAGGGAGTGTATTTCCGGGGTCGACAACTGAACAGGATTAGTAAACAACTCCTCACCGGAGGGAAATCAATTTACCATCAAGCAAGCAACATTTTTTGTGTGTAGTATATTCATCACTCCAATTATGGAAGTTTTGCTGCCATCTAGTGATGGGTGGGAAGTTTTCCTGTAGCATCCCAGGAGAGTGTTCTCAAACATGAGTTTCATGTTCCCAAAACAACTTGACTCCTTCCCCCTTTAATTTTTTCCTGAGAATAGCGGGTTTTCTTTCTCCCTCCCTGTCCAGTATCTGGTGGTTTTTTTTATTTTTGCAGAAAATTCAACAGTCCAGCGCTCGATTTTAAAAGGAGGCAATAATTTATAAAATGCACGGTCCCTCATTTAAAAAACAAAAACAAAATCTGCTAGAAAAGCAAATTCTTACTTCTTCTCCAGCATTCGTCCTTGGTCATATCTCTTGGTACCATCCTTAGCTCAGGTATGCTCCACAGTTAACATCCACGGTGCTACGAAACTCCTTGTTTCTGAGCAAGCTGGTGTCGGATTTCAGCCAAGGTGGGAGGCCTAGTGAGCCTGCCCTATTGTGATCCACACCTGTTGACTCCTCATCCTACCTAAATTGTTTGCGGTGGAGCTGATTTCCCAAGGCCACACGCCATCAGCAGGACGCAATTTCTTCTCTTACACGGGTCCTCCTCCAGTCCAAATTCCTGAGTCTCTCCCTCTCTCTCTCTCCCCCTCTACTCTTTATCTCTTTTGCTTCTTAGAAGGCTGTGAATTTCTTTCTCCTTTCTGTGTTTGGCTTGGCTTCAGCTCAGAACGTTGAGGTTACCAAGTTGGATGCAACAACCGGCCAGAAGTTTTGCTTAAATTCCAAAGCAACTGGAAAGAGTTATTGTGAGGCTGGCTCGTTTCCTGTGTCATAGAGTTTGCTTGATGAAAAGCAGATGAGGGTTTTCTTAGAGCGCACGCACAAAATGTCAGCGTTAAGTGGAGAGCAGGAGGAGGAGGGAAGGGAGGCCAAACATCAGAAACATTTTTTTTTTTTTAAATGTATGCGCTCTCCAGATCGATCCGTTGTAAGAAGTTCACATGTTTGCACCTTGGCCATTCTGCCGACACTGCTGGCTCCCAAAGGACCCTTCCCCTCTTCCCTTGCCCACCTCATTTCTTGTGTCACCTCCTTCTTTAGTGCCATCTGGAAGCTGCATACAGAACGGAATAACGTACAGTGACCGAGATGTTTGGAAAACATCCCCCTGCGACATCTGCGTGTGCGACAGCGGCAGTATCCTTTGCGACAGGGTGATCTGTGAACTCCCAGTAGACTGCCCAAATCCTGAGCTCCGCGATGGAGAATGCTGCCTTGTTTGCCCTGGTATGGATACTGACTTTACCTACTCTTCTTCCATCCACTCATACCATCAGTATTGCCTATGGTTCTGTCCGTCCACGGGCACTCAGTTTCCCCCCCTCCCCATTCCATTTAAGCATACCCCAATCAGTCTCCTGGAGAAACTGCCTGCCTGCAAATGTATTTACTCATTATATCTATTCCAGTTTTACTAATTCACCCATCTGCCCAAACGAAACATCCACCTTCTACTAATGTACACCAAAATCCATTTGTTTACCTATCTAGTTCCTCTTCTCCCTCTCTTCTCTTTACATCAACCAATCAACAGCCATCTAATCACCCATCCATTTATCCATCCACCTACAACCCCATCACCTATTTAATTGTTTCTTTGTATCCACCCCTCTATGTGCTATCTAACCACTCATCCATCCATCCATCCATCCATCCACCACACGTCTGTCTCCTGGTTCAGTTGCCTGAGGTTTTGTTTTCATCGTAAACGACAATAACAAACCGCTGGTTTCATAGAGATATTTGCGTCCCTTCCTTGAGAGATTGCAGAAATTTGGCAAAGAAAATTCTGCAGAGTCAGGAAAGAGAGTGAAGAGTTGGGAGAGGACCTTTCAGGCATCTTAACTTTAGTTGATGCTATATTGGTGCATTGTGGGAAGAAACTGGGCTTTCTTTCCTTTCTTTGAAAAGTCAGCACTTCAAATAGGATTGCCCAAGTAGACTGGATGATGTGAATTCGGATGGTCCTTCAGATTGGCCCATTACATATTCTGATTAGGCCAATGATAGGAGTTGCCATTTCCTATCGACTTCTAAATGTACCTAGGAAAGAAGCCTGGTCTTCATTCAATGTTTATTAAGGGAAGGATGTTCTGATAGACCAGAGGGCATTGTGGGTGCAACGGAGGGGTTGCAATGGTATCAGGTGATGATGATAAATTCTGGGTGATGGGTCTGATTCATAATATTCCTTTTCCTTTTGTATTCAAGAAACCAGTGAACCTCCCCCAGAAGCCACTGGAGTAGAGGTAAATTATCTTTTGGTAACCCTAACTTCCATTTATTTGGATGCATCAATTTTGTTTTCTTTTTGATAACCAGCTAATCACTATTATCTTCCTAATTGGCAGGGTCCTCAGGGGGAACGAGGCCCTAAAGGAGACAGGGTAGGTATCTGTAATGAAACTTTGGCTGATAATAGTTCAAAGGGGAAAGGAAATAAAATTAATATGCAAGCATGCCAGAAAAATTGGTGGCAAGTAGTTGTGTGTGAATAGGACAGTCATAAAATATTCTTTGGCCGCATTTTGAAATTTCCATTCCTATACGCAAAAGAAATTCTGCCTACTTAGGTTGTTTAAAAGAACACTTGCCCCCTCTAACCTACAGAAAGGAGATTCAAATCTCCCTTTGCTTCTTCTTTTTAACAACATTTGAATTTCTTCAGCTCACATCAGCTTTTAACTAAACATCCCAAAGCTGTTGCAAAAAGACCCGGCCATTTTGGCATTCTTTACTATAGCATCACGGTGGTTCATATTTTGGGAGTGGGAGAATAAAAGGTCCCCCTTCAAATGTTGCTGGTGTGTGAGGAATTTCCAAACCAGTTTTGGTCTTCTAATATTGCCTTCTAATAATGGATAGCTTTAGCATACTTAGGAATCTGAAAGTTTTGTGTCTCTTTTGTAGGAAACGTATACATTTTTGTGCATTCAGCACCATATACTGCCACGGTTCTAACCTGCGACTTCCTGCTCTCTTTGTTTTCAGGGGCTTCCTGGTCCCCCAGGCAGAGATGGCATTCCTGGCCAACCCGGACTCCCTGGACCTCCAGGCCCCCCAGGCCCCCCAGGCCTTGGCGGAGTAAGTTGGGTTTCCTCCATAACTTTTGTTTTTCCAACAATTCATGGAGGATGCATTTTTAAGAACCTCAGCAACACCTTCTCTCTTCTCTCTTCCTTCTCCTCCTCTCCCCTTACAGAACTTCGCTCCTCAGATGGGTTACGGTTATGATGAAAAATCTGGTGGCCTTGCTCTTCCTGGCCCAATGGTAAGTGTTGACGGTCTCAGGGGATTTGAGCTTAGTGTGGAAGGGGGAAAGTGGGAAGATTGTAGAAGTATGAATGAAGAAGTCTGTTTCAGCCTTCTTGGTTCCTTAATCTCAGGACAGAATGGTGAGGCCACAGGTAGGGAGGTACATGTTGCTAACTGATGTCCGCCTGATGAGCTCTTAGTAGCAGAAACTGAAGTATCAAAGATACTCCAACTTTATTCTTTTTGATTGGGCAGGCATCTCACTAATAAAGCTGAGTAACTAAGGGATAGCATTGCTTTTTTCCATGAGGAAAAGGGGCATGGAATGTGGGTTCCATGAACTAATAATAAGCATCATGACAATGATAATTTTTTATGGTCCTAAGTGTTTACCATAGAGTTGGAAGGGAACTTGAGATTCATCTAGTTATATAACGTTAGATCCAGACTAAGTTGGTTAGACGCAGCTCCCAGTGAAACCCGTGGAACAAGTTAGTCATGAAAACTCATTTTAGTGGCAACAGTGGCTTGAGTTTGTGGGTTAGTACTCGCTTTCTTTAAAATACACCAGTTAATCTGGCTTGAAAAAGGAGCAGGGGACTTAAGGGTGAGCAAATCCCCACCAAGAAATTCCATCAGTCTTGCGGGAATCTTTTGAGTGTCTCTCATAGCTTCTCAGAAGTTATTCCATTGTAGGAACCTCCCATTTTGTGTTACGTTTCACTTTAGGCTAAATCTGATGGCAGCCCAACGCCTCTCAGCTGGGAGGTATCCAAACACGCTGACCACTCATATAGCAACTACAAAAACAGACATACCCCAACATCAATGTGGAACACTAGACCAAGAGAAACAAAATGGTTGTTTAAAGAGAGATGGAGGAAAAGCAATTTAGGAAATGACGTAAAAGTGGGTGGAGGTCAGAGTGAGGCCTAGTTAAGAGAAAAGGTCAAGAATGTATGGTTAGAGCAAGGCAGTACGAGAATGGATATCCACAAGGGTCAAGACAAGATGGCTCCAATTTCATTTACTTGGGAAACATGACTGATTCTTCTCGCTTTGGTTTGTAGGGTCCAGCTGGTCCCCGTGGTCTTCCTGGTCCTCCTGGCGCTCCCGTAAGTACTTCTTTGCTTCCATCTTAATAACAAATTCTCAATACATTTTAGACAAGGGGTTGTGCATTTGGGATTTCAGATGAGAGAGGTGCATTGTAAATGTACGGACCTCAGTACTTGAGGCAATGTTCACCAAGCAGAAATTCCCAGTTCTTTCCTTTGGTCCTATTCCTTCCTTTGGTTGGAGGAATGGGGCTAGTGGGGTTTCTAGTGCTCTGGAGAGCAAGGATTTTGTGCCATCTTTGTCTCTTTCCAGAAAATAATAATAATAATAATGCAGGCTAAATTCTGGAGTCGCAGAATTCACTTATCCTTGGCACAGAGTAGGAGATTGCTTTGGTAGCAGGTTTCTTTCCTCTTTGCACGGAAGAAATAAGGTCCTCTCTTGAGAGGCCTACTCCATAGGCCTGGATGTTCACAGGCATTCACAGAAACTCTGGAGAGATGAGAGAAGGGGGAATGGAATACATAACCATTTCCACATTGATGTGTGAGGTGGTTACTTATTGACACTATTCCTTCTTAAAGCGGGTAGACCAACAGTGTGCAATGAAGTCAGGCAAAGGAACCAAAGTAATGTATCGCTTGCCTCTTAGAACAAGAGAGAGGGTGTGTATGTGCTGGACATGTAGGTGTCCTGAACTCCAATCCAAGATACATGAAGAATCTAGATATTCTGTAGAACACGCTGCCCATGCACAGTTTCTATTTCTTTGTTGAGCTCCCAGCACTGGTGACCTTTGGCTCCAGTTGACCTTTACTAGGAAGCTTATGCATCTATGTTGGGCAAACTGGGATGTAGGCCAGAATAGGACAAAGGTGGTTCAAGAAGAGATGCTTTGTAGCAGGGCAAGAGGGGTACAGGTTCATAGGGAAGAGGAATTTGCTTCAGGCCAGGAGAGCAGCGCAGCAGAAGTCATGGAGGTAGAGATGAAAGGAAGGGGACACTCGGGGCTGACAAAACTCAGGTGGTCCATCATGGTCTACCCAAAACAAATAGGGGTGCAGTAGGTCATGGCCTTCCATCTAACATAGATGCTCTGATTTATCTTCCAGGGTCCCCAAGGTTTCCAAGGTCCCCCTGGTGAACCCGGAGAGCCTGGTGCTGCTGTGAGTACCATCTGAACTATTTATCGTATCTCTCGCATGCATTATTATAGCGAAGTTGAACGGCCTCCTTGGAGTCTGTTCCTCGGAGTTCTCTTTTTCCACCACTTGGGGGAGCTTTTGAACGTCGAATGCAGTAGACAGGTTTTCGTACTGGGGATTCTTTGGCCCACTTTTGAAAAATTCAACCAGCTTATAAATAGGAGCAGGGACGACTCGACTCAGATTTTAATGCATCTATTTCTTCTCAAACTCTAGGGTCCAATGGGTCCCCGTGGTCCAGCTGGCCCACCTGGAAAGAATGGAGATGATGTGAGTGACTTATGTCTTTTTTTGGAGTGGGGGGCCCCCGGAAACTTCTTCTTTCCAATTATCCAAAGATGGAGTGTGCCCAAATAGCCACACAGTTTCAGTGTCAAGGTTACCCTCAACTTACAGACTTGAGTTGGCCGACTTATCCACCTGCCTTGCTTTGCCTCCAAGTAAAGTGAGTCAGGTCTAAAAAACTCGCAGTGTAAAAATAAAAAAAGCCTTATCTGCAATTAGTGACTTGAACTCCTAAGCAGCCCACCAAACCAGGACTTGATGGGAGACGCCCACAGTTTGTCAGTGCTGGGCCTTATCCATCCTTGCCCCTTACCACTTTCTCTGGCTTCTCCCTTTCTGCTGAGCAGAAGCACCAATCCTTAAGGAACACCTGTTGACGTTACAGGGCCATTTGGTTGCAAACCTTATTGCGAGGTCCAAGTCCCTTTTACAAACACAGTTCCCCAATCAGTGGTCTTTCATCCTCGCCTAGTGCGCTGTTTCTTGAGCATTGGCTCAGACCCTGTCTCCTCTTCTTTCTTCAAGGGTGAAGCTGGAAAACCTGGCCGTCCTGGCGAGCGTGGTGCCCAAGGTCCACAGGTAAGATGTCTCTCATCATGGGGTGGCTGTCAAGCACCTGTCTTTTTAGGAAGTGCTGCTCCTTGCCCTGGCATCCCTGGAGCCTTGAGATTACAACCTGTTGTTTAGGGAAAGTGATGCAATGTCTTACATTGGTGGCCTGAAAGAGCAGGTTTGATGATCATATTAGCAAGAAGCAGCTTAAGTTTTTCAATTCCTGCTTCAGTACAGAGGGATGGTTCGTTTATAAACCCATTCTACAGCTGTCTCCAATCTCCAGATGTTTTGGACTACAACTCTTGTCACCCCCCACGACTGGCCATGATGGTGTCTGGGGCTGATGGGATTTGGAGTCCGGCAGCTCCTGTAGGACACGGGGTTGGCGAAGGGTGACATACAACCTATTCCCACCCCAAATGCTGTATTGCAATGCATCCCTACTTCAGTTCACCTTCCTGGCAATTTTGCAAGGTGGTTAGGTTTGACTGTGAAACAGTTTATGTGCCTAAGGCCTCAAAGATGGCTGGGTGAGATTTTGGAGCCCACATTTGAACACATCCACTCTGCCCACTAGACTGGGTGATCACTGACAGACTCCTTCCTAGATTGGAAATTTTGAGCTCTTGATGGGTGGTCCCAGCTGTACGGAGAACTAGGATGTTCAAGGAGATGTAAGGACATAGCACAAAACTAGCAGTAAAGATGCCGCCATCTGCCTTAGTGGCATTTCTTAATCCTTTTAAACTGAGTCCTACAGTGTTGTTGCTATTGATGAAAAGCACATTATGTATGTCCCAATCATAAACCAGCTGTTGGTGTGAAGAGATCCCACCCACTTGCCTAGAGAAGGCGAGAAAGGTGAGACACGTTTTCTTCTTCTTCTCTGACTCCTAAATAACTTTTTGTTCTCTTGCTTTAGGGTGCCCGTGGTCTTCCCGGAACAGCTGGCCTTCCAGGCATGAAGGGACACAGAGTAAGTGTGCTCCGATAGCTCAATGACCAAGAAAATTTGGAGATCTTGCAATTCAGAATGTCCCCTGGCTAGATTATTTACTTAGGAGTAGACATGCATCCCCTCTGGAGCTTTTAACGTTTACAGCCATCACAATACAAACAGCATCTGCCATTGCGAACATGGCACCTTCACTAGATAATGCCTGCCATGAAGGTGACAATAGCCATATGGTCACATGAACCTTGGGGTAAAGCCCCACCTAGAACTATTTATCTTAGGAGGCAGCCAAGGTCCAAGCTGAGAAGGGCATGAAACGAACCCTTAAAAATGTCTACTCAGGTGTTTCAAGTTGACCATTATATAATTATCTTGTATATTCATATCCTTGGTTCCAAGGTGGTCTTCCACCCAGGCTTCCTCAGCTTTTGCATGGTTGCCAATATGGAACCTGTAGTCTTTTCAGTTGAACAGTAAAATGAGGGACTACTAACCTTACAAATGTAGAATTAAGGCACGCCATTGCCTTTTTTATATCAACTACTTGGATTTTAATGTTCCTTTTTCTTCTTTTCCATCCGTTCTTCCATCCCACTACTTTAGGGTTTCAGCGGTCTTGATGGTGCTAAAGGTGATGCTGGTCCAGCTGGCCCCAAGGTGAGTGTCCACTTTTAAGTATGTGCCCCCTTCCGTTTATACCTAATTCTATCCCCTCCTGTTTCAGCAACAGGTTGTTGACATCTGCTCTGTTTCCTCTTTCAGGGTGAGCCTGGTAGCCCTGGTGAGAATGGCGCTCCTGGACAAGTTGTGAGTACCATTGTTCTTCTGCCCTTTGCTTTCATGGGTAGACCATCTTTCCAAATCTTACAAGCATAGGCTGGGTATCAGCAGAAATGGATTTGTTCAGGTGAAAGGATGATGAGGAAAGGAAAACTCCTAGTCACCAAAAGGGGGGGAGTAAGAGGACTTACTCATTGGTAGAGTGCATGCTTTGTGTCTCTGAATATCCCAGGATCAATCCCTAGCCTATTAAAAGGAACAAGGAACAGATGATGGGCAAAACCTCTGTCTGATCCTCAGGACCCCATAGACAATCTTTAGCTAGGTAGACCCATGGTCCGATTCAATATAAGGTGTCTCTGTTTGGTTTCTGCGTACTGTGATCACACCTTACATCCATTGTGTTCTGAGGATGGATTTGATCCCTAGCATGCTTTGTGGAGAATCAAGTGGAAATAATTTGTCTGAAGGCGTCCAAGTTCAGTATACTTCCTTTCATACGTTGTTCATGAAAACCCTTCAGGTGAACTAGTTCCATGCGATGGTTAACATGCAGTAACCCCAAAGGACAACGCAATAGTTCCATCTGAGTATGGCAGTAGCAACCTACATGAGGGACAGGCGCGTTTTGACATAAAAGAAGACAAGGAGAAATATCCAGCGAGATGAAGCATTATTTCATAGCAGGGTTGGGGAAACCGAGGTACCCTCCTGATGTGGTTGGATTCTAGCTCCCATCAGTCTCAGTCGCCATGGCCATTTCGTCAGGAAGGGTGGGAAGTGTTGCTCAGCAACGTTTGGAGGGCTGCGAGTTCCTCAACTCTACTGTGCAGAGAACTATGTGTGAGATTTCAGACAGCAGGGCAGACGTCATGGGTGTGTGTAGCATCCGGGTGGCGAAAGCTACAGATCAAAGGCTCTTTCGCTTGGTCTAATGGATATATCATCCTTTTGCGTATAGTTGCAGCCAGATCCAGGAGAGCAAGAACACATAATGAGTCAAAGGGGATTGCATCAAGAAATGAGGGGGTAGATAAAAAACAATTTTAAGCTGAGGGCACTTGAGATGTATGAAGCAAAGACATGAAGAAGCAAGGCATGCTGGCATATACAAAGTCTTCGTTCTCACTTTATGGCTCCCTGGGGAACGAAGGAACCCCTTAACACCAGTAGAGGCATTAGAAATGGTAGATGCTAAAGAACAGAATGGCTAATGAAAGGTTGGGTGGATGGTAACGGGGCATGGATCAAAGCTACCTTCCCCTAAACTAAACTTGTTTCTCCTTATGCCTAGGGCCCACGTGGTCTTCCCGGTGAGAGAGGCCGCCCTGGACCTTCTGGCCCTGCTGTAAGTACATTGTTTTGTCTTGTGGGACATATTGTGGGGCTGGATGCAACTGGTACCAAGGCATCCTTGGTGTAGCATCCTCCAGGTCTGGTGTGGCCTGGAGAGATGGCAGTAACTGAAACGCCTTTCTCCCCCTCTTGTTCACCACAGGGTGCTCGTGGTAATGATGGTTCCCCCGGTGCTGCTGGCCCCCCAGTAAGTATTCCTGCAACCTGCAGTTTCTTCTCTGCTTAAGTGATGATTATTTTCCTGTGGAGAGGGTTTGTCCTGCCAGACAAACATTGGCCGTTGCCAGACTCCATATCCTAAATGGGAATTTGCAGGACAACACACTCTGTAATTAAACCAGCCATGGGATGGAAGGCCTTGACTCTTGTTTCCCTTTCCCTGGCATTTTAAATCGCAGACCAAACCTCTGGCCATTGCTGGGGTGGAGTTGGCCAGTGTTAAGAGGTTGCTAATTTGGGACTCCAAGGAAAATGCTATAATTGCCATTGCTTTCTTTCTTTCAGGGCCCCACTGGTCCAGCTGGTCCCCCTGGCTTCCCTGGTGCCGCTGGCCCTAAGGTAAAGACACTGGACGACACTGATGCTCAGAAGCAATTGTTTTGTATCAGGAACATCAAAAATTGTTGGGTTTAGACTCGATCAATATCTCAGGTGCCAGTCCTCATGCAAGCCAACATTGCACCATCAGTGCATAAGAGGGAGGTATCAGGAGGCTTAGGAGAATCCCAGTGTTTGCAGGTGTACAAAAATATTTAGGGGGAAATTCTTATAGGTAAAAATAAAGTAAAAATACCAACCGATAATGACTGTGCAGACTCGGCGCAGAATGATAAGAGACTGTTGGGGTGTGAAGAACAGAAATCTGGGCAGGTGATGAAGTAGAATGGAGTATCTGGAATCGTGGACAGACTGCAACATTTTGTTGCAGATCCCACTTGTCTTCTTGATTCCTCAGTCTATTGTTAATAATAATAATAATATTTTTAAAAGGGGGGAAGGGGAGAGACAGTCTTCCCCTTCTTAGACGAAAAGCTCTGTAGCACCAGCTCTAGATGAACTATTTCTTACCAAACCAGCTACAAGCACCTTAGTCTTCTGTGGGAAAGATCACAGGCTATTTCTGAAAAGCCATGGCCCTCATAATGATTTCAAAGGCTCTCCTCCCTCCGAGTCTCTGTATTCCCTTATAGCTCTTCATTCAAGAATGGAGGGTGACACATCTACATGGGCCAAGTTCTTAAATTCCATTGTAGCCTTATGAGGCTACACCATGAGTGGTAGCTTTTCATCCTGCCCAGCAATGTCTGAAGCTTAGAGGCTACTTGAGAGGTGCCCGCAATGTTGCTTCCCGTTCCAGCCTCTCTTTCACACACAACAGGCAATGATGGTTTGGGAAGGAAGCCACCGCATTGCTAAACCTCCAGGGTGGCCTATGGGTTTCAGGTGTTCCCAGAGCAGCAAGATGGAAGTCTGTAAAGGACTAGTGACTGCCAAGTTCCTGCAGCATAAGCACTTAGTGTTAGACCCCAAAGAAGCTGTAGCAACAGCCCGCCTCAAGAGGACCAAGTAGTGTGCTTCAGGTGGCAGGCCTCAAACCTCTTGATTTCTGAGGGACAGGGTGGCAAAGGAAGGCCTGAGGCATTGTAGTACTGATCCAACGAGGCAAAACTGTGAAGCCTCAGAAGGGCTTGGTGTGGGATGGTGTAGTTTGACAGGGAGACGCTGCCACCATACCTGTGGAAGAGTACTTATGTCCCTTGTTCTTTTTTCTCTTATTGCACAGGGTGAAACCGGTCCCCAAGGTGCTCGTGGTAGTGAAGGCCCACAAGGTGCTCGTGGTGAACCTGGTCCCGCCGGTCCCGCTGGCGCTGCTGGTCCTTCTGTAAGCTGCACTACTTGCCGATTTTGGGCTTTTGTCGAATGCGCTTCGGGAGTTTCTAAGGAGCATCATCATAATGACTCTTCTCTCCTCCTTCTCCTCTGCTTTAGGGCAACCCTGGTTCTGATGGTCAACCTGGTGCCAAAGGTGCAACTGTAAGTACCCTCCCATCGCTTTTCTTGTCTTCTCCAATGCCTTCCTTTCCCTGTTGCTTCACCAGTGTTGCTCTTTTCTCCTAGGGTGCTCCTGGAGCTTCTGGCGCCCCTGGCTTCCCCGGTCCTCGCGGCCCAGCTGGACCTCAGGGTCCCAGCGGCTCTCCTGGTCCCAAGGGTAACAGCGTAAGTCTCACCTGATCTCCCCTCACCTTTTGGCTCGTCATTTAAGCCTGCCTTCAGAGGTCTTTGAAGAAATTAGAAATAGAGGCATCTGGGTGGGTTATCCAGGGAATCCAGACTTCTTTAGCCTAACTGGGAGAACGCAAGGAGGAGCCTAACATAACATAATTAATTCAGAAAATACCACCCTCTGCATATCCTCTCTGGACTGTGCTTGTTTAATAGCTAAAGCACTGTTTCTTAGTCTTTTTCAAACCATGACCTCCAATACTACCAATAATACCAGCTTTCCTGCCTTGGCATCATATAATACACTGGGTTTTAAAATTCTGAAAATGACAGTATTCCAGAGCAGCTAGATTTGTGTAGCAGGTAGGATAAAGGTATCAAAATGGTAGGCGATGGTGTACAAATCTCTTTTTTAAGGGTAGCAGTATCCAAGATTATTTAGCAGGGCGCGCCTTCTACCAAACCCCATTGTTAACTCTCATATGGTGGAGATTTACATTGAGTTGCATGTTCACTATTACATTCTCAAGTTCCCTTTCCTTGACTCTGCTTCCTATAAACCAGGCCTAGCCAGACTTGGCCCTCCAGATGTTTTGGGACTACAACTCCCATCATCCCTAGCTAACAGGACCAGTGGTCAGGGATGATGGGAATTGTAGTCCCAAAACATCTGGAGGGCCAAGTTTGCTCTAACCTGTCCCTTCTATTCAGGGCCCAAGCCCAAAATCACATGCATCAGCATCTTATCAAATCTCTTCCTCTGTGGATTGTCAGCCTGGATAACTCTACTGGTTGCATCATGGTGCTGATAACTCCAAGGCTTCAGGTTCGATCCCTGTATGGGACAACTGCATTGCAGGGGGTTGGACTAGATGATCCTCAGGGTCCCTTCCAACTCTGCAGTTCTAAGTCTTGATAACAGATGCATGTTGAAAGCCATCTCAGAGAAGCCACATCCCCTTGTTCTCTCGTAGAAAAAAGGATTCATTCTTGCCTTCCTTGTGCTGAATGAGTTTGTGATCATGTTGTTTTCTGTCTCTTTATATGCGTTTAGGGTGAACCCGGCGCTCCCGGAAACAAAGGAGATACTGGCTCTAAAGGCGAACCCGTAAGTATCCCTCTCACCTGGGATGTAGTTCTAAAACGGTGCATCTGTTCTTGTTTCATTTTCACTTTTGTTAACGCTTGCCTCTCCTTCCTTTTATCTTCCAGGGCCCCGCTGGTGTCCAAGGCCCCCCTGGTCCACCTGGTGAGGAAGGCAAGAGAGGATCTCGTGGTGAGCCTGGACCCGCTGGCTTGCCTGGACCTGCTGGTGAACGTGTACGTACCAACGTTGTTCTCCATATTACTGCCCTCTCGAACCAAAACTAGTCTCTCCTTAACTGTGGGCAGCAAGATCACACTCTCTTAGCAAGCAGACTAATTTGTGCGCGGACCATGTATCTGTCTAACATACTCACAGTACATTATTAGATTAGTTAGGAATTGCTGGGTCAAATTACAAATGAAAGCAAAGCAGTCTGGAAAGGCAGTCTCAAGAAGCCTCTGTGAGTCAGAGGAGAGCTATTCTGCAGGGAAAAGCTGTTGCAAAAATAGAGTGCGCTGCAGCACTTCAAAGAAAACTGAATCTGCAGATGCTTTTGCCACTTATTAGGAACTGCCTCTTAAGGTGTCTAAGATGTGAGCCCAATTGGTACCATGTGTTCACCGTGGAGTGTTTTAAACCCACGAGGAAGCACTGTCTAGGCCTGGAGGTGGGCAGAACATTGCTGTCCTTTTCACTTAACAGATCACTGCCTTAAAAATAATCCACGGCTGAATTTAGAAAAAGAAACACCGTCATTCTTTTCTGTTCTCAAGTTGAAATCCCAGGGGAGTCCCACGAGAATTGATTTCATACAGAGAAATAAAAATACTGAGACCTTTGAGGTCAAAAGACCACTGCAATATAGCCAGGTCATCAGTTGTGTTTTGAACTTCAAACATTTGATCAAATCCAAACTTCCCTCTCACTTAGACAGTTTTCCTTGTTTACTTATGTTTCTTTGCTCCCTCTTATAATATGCCATCCGGTACTTTCGCTTGAGTTACCTGCAACTCTTTGCACACCTTTTCAGCCCCTGATCTCTATTTGTGGGTTGTGTCTTGCTGCTTTGAGATGGGGTTGGCAGGTGTGGGATCCTGTCTTCAACCTGGGCCCTAAACTAGGATTCTGAGATTCTTGAGATTATCCTGAATCTGAATTTACTTTCTTTGATCTGCATGTGATTCTGCCTTGTGGGATTTGTATTTTTGGTCCTTTCTGGCCAATCGATGTTTATTTTCCCTGTCCACTTTGATGGGAGAAACCAGCGCTGTGTATATGACATTAACCTGTTCTCCTCCTTACCATTCACAGGGTGCTCCCGGAAGCCGTGGTTTCCCCGGATCTGATGGCATTGCTGGTCCCAAGGTAGGTTCTAGTCTCCTCACGCTGTCACTGCCTTCTCTACAGAATGAAAGGTATAAAAATAATGGCCTCTCCATCCATTGGCATCACTCCAATGGGCTGAGGTGGGAAGCCTCAGATAAGGCTCTGGGAATGTGGGTCAAGGCAGAGACAGTTAAACCAGGGAGAGATGGAATGTTCTCTTAGTAGAAAAGAGCCTGGAGCAATCTCAAATGCTACTGAATATTATTTTATTTTTGCTAGCTGTTACCTACATTAGGAATAGTTTAAATGAGTTAAATGGGGGATGGAAAGAAAGCCTTCTTCCTTGGAACTCCCCTTAATCTCAGGTGGCCTGAGCAGATTTTCACAACGTTGAGAAATGGCACTCTGCACATGTTCTAATGCTATCAAAACATGACTAGTTCTCGATTTCTTTCATTTCTTTCCTGCCCTGCCAATGCTGATAGTAGGGCTAGTGAAAGTAAAAACATCGAAAATAGCAATTTTCTTTTTTTAAAAAATTAAAAAATAAAGCTTCCAGCTTGAATTAACTTCATACTACTCCCATTTTAGAGGTGGGTGCTGAGTGGGAATTTGGCCAAGCTTCTGCTGAATAAGTTTGTGGCAGGCATGTGCCCAGATCTCTAAGATGGAAGTCTAATTGTCCAGCAAATGTAGAAATCTAAGGAGCTCCTTTGCACTAAGTGAATCTGCTTTCCACCTCCCTCCAAAACTCCCTGAAGGAGCTGGGTAGTCTTGTGGAAATTTATAGGGGCCAGCAAGAGTTGCCTAATCATCTGAGAGCATCACACGTCATCCCTTTTGAAGACACTGCAGCCTCATCCTCAAGCCCCCAGATGAGTTGATCATTGCTCCCAGCTCTTGCTTAACAACACCAGTTGCTTTCATGTCTTCCCACTCCTGCAGTCCCACGGGCTTTCTTGAGCTTTTTTCTATTCTTTTTTTAAAGGCACCAGATCTTGTCTGGAAGCCAGCTGTAGTCCCACCAACTCACCCACCCTTTGCCCTTCCCAGCCCAGCAACATTTCATTATTATATATCACACTTTACTATGTTCTCACGTTCTGGAATTCTCCAGCATGACCTCAAACCACTCACATATGCTCATCTGGCTAATGGAGAACCAGAGCCCCAGTAGTTATTGCTCATATTGTTGGGTTTGGGACTTTTTTATGGCTCATATCTTATATTTTCTGCCCATGAAGATTAAGCCATCCACACAGAATCAGGCAGCCTGGTGTTGGTCTCCTTCCCTTGCTGTCCTCCTAGTGGTGCAGCAATAAAACTGCTAGCACACTTGCAAAGCTAAGCAGGGTCCGGTATGGTTTCAAAGTGGAGGGGAGACCACGTGCTCAGATTCCTGCATTGCAAAGGGGTTGGACTAGATGGCCCTCGAGGTCTACAGTTCTGGGAATCTTAGATTGAGCTCTGATATAACAGCCTTCTGAACCAGAAGAAGATGAAACAATGTCAGCATTTACCTGCAGTGCTTAATGGGATAACTTGACTGCTTTTCCTCTTCCAGGGCCCACCTGGCGAGCGTGGCTCTCCCGGCCCTGCTGGTCCCAAAGGAAACACTGGCGAAGCTGGACGCCCTGGTGAGCCTGGTCTCCCTGGAGCCAAGGTGAGTGGATTGCAAGAGATCTGGCAGAAGTGCAAAGGCGATCTGGCCACATGCTTTCCTGTTAGGCCCTGGGCAGTGGGGAATGAGGTGCATTCTGCCAGAAGCTCCCATGCCCTAGAGAGGAATTGAAAAACAAACTGTGTTAGGTAATCACAAGCTCCCCTTGTTGTTATAGTAATTGCACCTAGAAAATAACATAGGACTTTGAAGTATGCAAAGGACTTTGCACTCCCTGTCCTAACAACTTGGTAAGGAGCAGAGGCAGATTTCGGGCACCACGACCGGTTCTGCCACACTGGGCGCTGAGCTGGGGGGCATCGCAAATATGACATAGTGAATTGAGCAGAATGGGAGGTGAGGGCCAGGGGGCACCAAATTGTGGCCTTGCTGCAAAAATTTGAAAGACCACCCCCGCAAGGAAAGTCTGCAATGGTCCCATTTTGCAGACAGGGAAGTGAGGCTGAGAAATGCATAAGTGAATTGAAAGGAGGAAGACTTTTGGCGACAGGTTTTAGTGTCCTCTTTTGGCTGTTCTTTTACGGAAGGGTCATGATGGGATAAGGGTAAGAATTTGCCCAGTTAGAATGCGGGTAATGGATGGCATTGTGACACCCTGTAGCTCCCTATGTGATCCTTGATTGGTAAGGGTCATTTCTGGAAGCAGAAAAAGCCCTTAAAGAAATAGCAGCAATGTGGGGAAGCAATAGCTGCAAACAGCACCATCAAAGTAAATGCAAGGAGTTTTTAGGGGGAAATTCAGCCTCCCTGAACACCCCATTTTTGCCAAGAACATATTCAGAGGCAAACGTTCAGTGCAACCCTAGAAAGACATGACTTGCCCAAGGGCACTAGAAAATTAAATACAGCATTGTAAATTTAACTCGGGGGCTTATTAGCCAAGCTGAAATACCCTTCTTACTGGGTCACACAAGCTCTCAAATCCTTCCTTGCTCAGTGATTTGAACCCTGCGTTCTACGCCCCCCACTTCAAGATGCAAAGGGGATCATTATGCCCATCTATCTAATGCATCGATCTACCACTTTCTCCCATGAGCTCAGGGCAACTTAGAACAAAATTAAAATCGGATTTTTTTAAAAAAACATGCACCAATTAATCTGAAATAAAACAAAACCAGAAGGAGGACAAGAAAGCAGGACTCGAACTGGAACTGATTTAAGAGAAACCAGCAACCCCTAGAATTTTTTTGGAAACAAAACAAAAGTCTTCCCCCGCCCCCTTATGAAAAAAAAAACACCAACTGCAAGGGACACATTGGATTTATTAGCTACTCAGATATTCTGTACAGCTGGAGACTATTTAAGGGAAGGGCGAGGGCGAACACTTCCAGAAGGGGTTCGCAAAAGCTGTAAAGAAGCATTTAGGAGAACTGGGAATCATTCACAAAAGAGATGCACAATAAGGGGTTCCTATGACAAACAGATGTTTTCAAAACAGGGGTTGTAGAGCATTTAGGAATGACTGTGCTGAATGGGGTGGCAAAGACAGAGCAATCCTACCTTACCCTTTCTAGGTCACAAACCCTCGTTGTTATTGACCAAAGGATGTTTCCTAACTCACCTTCCTTTCCCCTCCCACCTGCAGGGTCTGACTGGTAGCCCTGGAAGCCCTGGCCCTGATGGCAAGACTGGACCCACTGTGAGTAGCAACAGGATGGCATTCTTCATTGTTTTACTTTGCTCAGAAATGAATTGTTCTTTTAAAACACACACACACAAAAACTTACGGGCTTTTTTGTCTCCTAATAGGGCCCCGCTGGTCAAGATGGCCGCCCTGGACCTGCAGGTCCACCTGGTGCAAGAGGTCAAGCTGGTGTCATGGGATTCCCTGGACCTAAAGGCGCTGCTGTAAGTAACTGCTTCCTTTCCCTGAATCTTACACTCCCTTGGATGAAAATTCAAGGATGGCAAAATCCAGCTTTCTCCTCGCAGTGCCCAGTCTTTGCTTGAAGTTCAGCTTGCAGTGTTGCCATGAAAATGGCAGAACTTCATTTCAGAACTTCCTGAAATGGCTGCCTTCAAGTCTTCATGAAATAACGGCTGGCAGTGCCTGTAACTGCAAGCTCCTTCTAGCTGCCCTCCTTATGTTTTTGAGCAACTAGAGGGACAAAAAAACCCCCAAAACTCTGGGTGTTCATAAAGACCTAAATTGTTGGTCATTTCTGTTCTTCATTGTGATTCTGCATCTGCTGTTACTGCCATGGGGCATCAGCATGGTTTCATGGTTTAGATGGCTCCCTTTCCAGAACTGAATCTTCAGTTCTTGTATTGGACCTTAGAATTAAGCAGATCATTGCAGTGATTCTGTTCTGGGTATGTGGTAAATCAGTTGCAGTCCAGCGATTCAGTGTGAGCAGTGGGCACACAAGACAAGTTATGGCTCCTTGTTCATTATTGTTTTGCAACATAAAGCTACCCTTCAGCCAAAAATCATTCCCAAGAATGCAGCAACATGCAGGCGCTGTGGTTTCCCCATAAATGGTTGTATCCATTTGTGGTCCAAATTTTGAACACAGCATACACATAACCTGGATTTGACTCGTTCTAGTATTACCCGAAGAGTGCAATGGAGTTCCACTGCTACGAATATCTTCTTGCTCACTGCTCGTCAAGTTGTCAATCCTGTCTCTGAAATGACCCCCTTTGTCCCCTTCTTCTTCTAGGGTGAGCCCGGTAAACCTGGCGAGAGAGGTGCTCCTGGACCTACCGGTGCTGTTGTAAGTATTTTGCTTAATGCCCTCTGCAGCCAGGTTCAGATATGGCTTTGCACACAGGGATTTTTAGATGAAAGCAAGAAATCTTGGGCACTTGTTCGCTATAGCAAGCCCTGTGGCAGCAAGGAAATGGATTTGACACCAAGACACTATATAGATGTCAGGGGCTGGTCTGGATCAGAAGACTGGGGAATGCAAATGCAGGGAGATCAGTTCCCAACAGAAGAGGAGGGGAAATATTTGACCCCGCCTGCTTCCAGCGTTTCCAGAAGCAGAGAGACAGGCAGAAACAGAAGCTGCATAGTTAGAGAGGAGCTACCCAGTTATGAGATAGTAGCTAAGCAACCAGAAGGGAGGGAGCAGCTGGCCGATACATCAGTCGAGAGTGGGGGGACGACACCCTCCCTCCCCCCAAACTCGGAGGTCTGATCATGTCAGAGACGCGGGGGGGGGGATGACTTCCCGTTGGCACACTTCTTGCTGCAGAAGTGGGGAGGAGTCAGAGTAGGCAACTGATATCCTTCTGGAGGGTTGCCTGCTTGTGCTGGTAACAGAATGCTGTAATAAAAGGACTAGAAATCTACCAAACGCTCGTTAATTCTTATCGGTGAGCCACCGGAAGGGAGAGGGGAACTCCCGTACTTGACAATAGAACATAGAAGTGATCACAACCCTAGCTTTCAATCTATGTAACAGAGAAGGCTGAGAGCAGAGGGAGAGGTTGGGGACAGATACATTTGTCCTGGGCCTTTATCCCACAAGCCAGTCAGAGAGCAGTGGAGGAGCAGGCAAGGCAAAGCTCTGGGAAGCCTTTACTAAGGACAAATCACAGATGAGATGCATTTGTGTGGAGAGTCACACAAAGAAGAGTAGCGCAGACATTAGAGGCTGCAGGTTTGACAGTGGTATAGAGTGACAAGGAAGTCAATGCAATGAATTCAGAAGATCTGGACACAGGAGTAGAAAAACAATGGAGTGCTTTCAATGTAGACTGTTCTCCGAAGAGTCCATCCAGATACTCTCATCTCTGCCTTTTTGATCCTCTTCTCCCTTGCAGGGTGCTCCTGGTAAAGATGGTGAAACTGGTGCCCAGGGACCCCCTGGCCCAAGTGTAAGTATGAATTCTTCCCTGATCCCACTTTCTGTACCATTGATGGCTATTGTAGGAAACCACTTTTTGAAGCCTACCAACCTTTGAACTTTCCTTTGCTTCTCATCCTAGGGCCCTGCTGGAGAAAGAGGTGAACAAGGTCCCGGTGGAGCTCCCGGATTCCAGGTAAAAAAAAAGCTTTCCATGAATAGAGGCACATACAGAACTGTGTGTGTATTTTCTGCCGCAGCAAAACTCCAAATTTGGAAGCCGGCTGGATGGGGAAGAAACTTCAGGGATAGCAATAAACGTTGCAAACATAGTAAATTTCTGCATTTTGCATGCTTAAACCTGCTCCTTTGCTTCAGGTTTTCAGATTTCTTTGCAAATTTTCTGGAAGGAGTGGGAGGCAACAGTATAATAGTTTGACGGGCACAACATGCAAATATGTTCTTCAAATCAAGGCTTTGAAGAAGAAAAAAGGAAAGCTGGGAAATTTAACTATGCAGAAACCATGACAACAGGCATCAATGCCTGTGCTTGTGCACACACACAAAATAATTGTGGGTGATCAAATTGTAGGATAGATATAGCTAAGCTCTTTGAAAAGCAAGATTTCAGTTCCCAATCTAACACCTTCTCCATCTCTGGTTTTCTCTTACAGGGTCTTCCCGGTCCTGCAGGTGCCCCTGGTGAATCTGGAAAGCCTGGTGAACAGGTAAGAAATGAGGCTGCACATAGAGAAATGTGAAGAAGAGACTGGGTTCAGAGATAGGTAGTTTAGGGTCTGATCTGAGCTTGCTGGCTCCCCAGTAAGCCTCGCTCCACATATAGATATGGCATTTGCATCTGCCTTCCTGAATACCTTCAGACAGAATGCAGTACTTACACCATACTATAGAAAGACGTAAGGATACCTTGAGGAGAACCGGATGGTCAAGCTTCTCCCCACTTAGCTTCTTCTGCTCGGTTATTCACAATCTGCGTGCACACACACAGCAGGGTGAGGTTTCTCCTCCTTTGAATAGCTGGAGGGAATTTCAGCAGGCAAAGTTTGCTCCTTCCTTTCAGGACCATGCCACAGCAAGCTTAGAATCCCTTAGCTCGGGTGGCTTTCTTTAGAAAGGCTTCATCCACTCCTTGCAAAAAAACCAGTACAGTGCTGGTGCTGAATCTATCCAGCAACATTCTGAGAACCACGCACCCTTTGCATTGAATGAATTGGAAGCTGTGCAATCACAGCAGAGTCCGTGCCATGCCTGCTTTTTGTATGATGCATTTCTCATGCTCCCTTTGCAAAGCCAATGGACTTCCAGTTGATTGGCCAACAATAAAAATCCAGAGCACCTGCAAAGAAGTATATAGGGAGGGCGGGAAGGAAATATTTTCCTTTTGCATGGCCCAATGGCCATAGAAACCTCCCATATTGTAGGCAACAGATCTGTATCTCCCCCATGTCCTTCTCCTACTAGAGATAGGATTGATTGCTTGGACTAAAACTGGGATTTCAGGCATTCAAAGCACTGTAGATACTTGATGCTTCTTGTTCCTCAAGGGGACGTTGTCTCAGCGAGGTGAAGAGATGCTGAAACGAGTGGAGTCCTTAGTTTAGGCCTAGTGACTCTTTCAGTAAGCCATTGGATTGGGCACAACTTGATGATTCAGGAGCCCGTAATTTATGCTAATATTCTGTGGCTGAAGTTGGCATTTAAAAAGAGTCCATCTTCAGATCCTGTCCACTCATGTTTCCAACATGCGGTTTTGGAGAAGCCGTCAAGGGAGGTTTACAATGCATACCTCCTGAAGTGTTTCCTGCCAAGCAGAAGAGAATAGCTAGATGCTTCTCATTGTGCTGTCCACTTTCCTCCATGCTTTCATATGCTAGAGACCCTGCCCACATCATGCAAATCCTGCCACTTCAGACTTGAGCTGTTCCTTCTGGAATTCCATAGCTCAAAGGGACCATAAGTCCACATAGTCCTCAGCCGTGAAGCAGCAAAATTCATCCCCAGTGCTGCACAGCAGAACCATCCATCAGCCCCATCTTGGATTACCTATGACACCTGGATGCCAAAGATTCATTAACCAATGATTTTTCTTCTTCTGATAGGGTGTTCCTGGTGATGTTGGTCCTCCTGGTCCCTCTGGTGCAAGAGTAAGTGAAGATCTTCTTCTCCATACTGGTCTTCCATATGTATTTTCATTGGTCCGCTGCTGTTTACTGTGATGCGGGCGTTCTAACCAGATCTCTTTCCTCCCTCTAGGGCGAGAGAGGTTTCCCCGGTGAACGTGGTGTCCAAGGCCCCCCAGGTCCTCAGGGTGCCCGTGGTTCTAATGGTGCTCCTGGTAACGATGGTGCTAAGGTAAGGGTGCATGATAGGATGTAGTCCATCGCTTATTATTATTCATGTCCTTTATCTTCCTTGAAAATATCTTGCATGACAAATATAAAAATCAGTCTTGGATGCTTGGGATTTTTTTCAAATGATCAGAGTTAGGTTTTGAGCCACGTAGGCAACAAAACATCTATAATTCAAGAGGTGAAGGAAACAATCTATGCCTTCTGAAGCATCCCCTCACACCTCCTGTTTTCTCAACAAAGGTGATGTACAGTGCTCACCAGCTTAAGACAGAGTGGGACCACCTGTAGTATTCGGGGTCCTCTTATGAGCTTATGGAACTTGATAATAGTGCATTTCCACACACACAGAAAGAGAGGTTATAAGGATATTGGGCAAATCAGGAGTAGAGGCCCACAGCTGAGCTGTTTCATTTCACCAGGGTTGGGCTAAGTTTTGGAATCCAACCAAGCATCTGCCATGAAGCAGGACACAGCTTCGATTCTGCTACCTTATTACGTTAGCCAGACCACATGGGACAAGCTCTGGGACCTTCTTTCTCTTTTCAGAACCTATAGGCACATTTCACTCCAAGCAAGGCAACTTTTGCACCCTAAAGCAAATAAGGAAAGTAATGGATTTGCCTTGGCATGGGCACATTCAGGAATCCTGTGCCTGTTCCTTAGTATCATCTACCCAATCCCTCTGAATCATTGCCTTCCTGGGTGCAACAAGGCTCTTCTTCCCTAGCATACAGACTGAAAATCTGAAAAAATAAATAAATGTTGTTTTGCAAATGTGTATGAGACAGACAGACAGAATTCAGAAGGGATTAGGTGCTGCCATCTATGCTGGGCCTGGTATCTTAGCTCTGTTTCTGATATGTGTTTGTTTGTTTGGCTCTGCTCCTCTAGGGTGATGCTGGTGCTCCTGGTGCCCCCGGAAACCAAGGTCCCGCTGGCCTTCAGGGTATGCCTGGCGAACGTGGTGCTGCTGGTCTGCCTGGTGCCAAGGGAGACAGAGTAAGTATCTGGTCCTTGGAAACAATGCCATCAAAATGGCAGCTCACTAACTTAACCGACCTATAAAGAAGGCAAACAAGCAAACAACAACGGCAACAGCCCCCTGACTCTTCCAAATATAACCCTCCAGTTAGGAGGCTTTCCCAACTTCTCCTCGTATCTCTCTCCAGCCCGCTTTCACGACGAACCACCATTACTGCAACTGTGCAGAGATAATCTTGACACAGATCCTCATGCCCACAGGTTCATATGAGGGTCATAGGGGGCCAGTGGATGGAAGACTTAATAAAAACAGGAGGTCACTTGCAAGGCTGTTGCTGTTTTGCAGGTGGGATTTACCTGCGCGCCAACAAACTCAGACTGTGCAATTGAAATGCGTTTGGTGTTGTTTGGCAACACACCCACTTCCCTCCAAAACAGGACTTTTAGGTGATAAAGAAAGTGATAGGAAAACACACTGGGCTATTGACTGGCTTTGTAACACACCATTTCAATTGGGTAGGAAGTTTGTGGAAAAGTAACATCCGGAATTGCCTTACACTGTGTCAGGGAACTGGTGCATCAAGCTCAGTACTCTGTCTATTTCAGCTGGCTACAGAGCTCCACCATATCTGGCTGAGATATTTCCCACTCCCAGCACATGGGATTTATTTTATTTTTTTAATGAAAAAAGGGGGCAGAAATCTAACCTAGGGCCTTCTCCATCCAAGGCCTGTAATCTGCCCCCAGACCTTCCTCTACTTGAAGTAGACTGCTGGCAGAATCGTAATGTGGGAAATAAGGAACAGGAAGATAATATTAAATTCTGCTCGCTGGTATTTAGAAACTCCCCTCCTTAAAATATCCAGTGGGCAGGCGACTCTTCCCTTCTGTATGGCCAAAGCAAGAGGATGGTTGGTGTAGCCCTCCAGATGTTGCTGGACTATAGCTGCCAGCATCCCTGACCATCATCCATGCTGGCTAGAAACTCAACATCTGGAGGGGCACAGTTTCCCCACCTCTGGCTTGTAGGCTTTTGCCTTCAGGGTTGGAATGAAGGGCAGATCTCGGGGTGCTATCCAGCACTTAGTCCTTCTTCCATCAGTCTCCTTGAGATAAATTCCCTCGCGCCAAACTCGGCTTGACATCCTAATGCAGATTCTGCTAGATGGTCGGATCTCTCCCAAGACCTTCAGAGATGAGACACCTTGTATCGCCAACAGAGAGTTCTTCCTCCCAGTTTTTGCACCAGCTTGTTCCTTTCGGTGCTTCATGGTCTGCTCTGTTTCTCCTTCCTCCTAGGGTGACACTGGTCCCAAAGGTGCTGATGGTGCTCCTGGCAAGGATGGACTTAGAGGATTGACTGGACCTATTGGCCCACCTGGACCTTCTGGTGCTCCTGGTGACAAGGCAAGTGCTCCACTGACTTTATGTACCTCTTTTCCAGAAAAAGGTCTAGTGATCTCCAGTTGTCAGATGTCTAGGTGCATTTTCTGGCATATTAACAAATTTGTGAATGAGCTGGGAGCTATTTGGCGTCTTCCGACTTGGGCTTTGATGCCACTCCTTTGCAGAGCATGCAGTGGAGAGGCAGTTGGCAACTCTTTCCTGACCAGGTGTTCTGATGGCGTAGGGGTGCAGAGATCCAACCTGGCCCTTTCTAGTCAGCTCAGTGTCCCTGCCCTGCATGCTGATGGCAAGAATAGGGCAGCCATGGGGACAGCCCCCTTTCCCAAGAAATTCTAAGTATGAGAATCTCAGCATTGTGTGCCCTTCATCTGAAGCCCTCAATCTCTATGAGGTCAGCTGGGCTAGGCTTGGGCAGAGAGCAAGAGGCTAGTGGAATGTCACTCTATATCAGAACCTTTCTAGCTCATGTCCACATGGACCAGAGCTGATTTGACAGGGGCTAGTTTGAAATTAAAACAGTGGCCAGCAACTAGATTCAGTGATAGGTCAATCTGGAGTGGAGCACTGGGGGGAAGAGCTTAGCCCCTTCCTTCTCACCTTATTCACTTGATACCACCTGGACACCCATCGCTGGCTGAGGCTACAACCTCCACAACAGCATCACCAGGACACTGGATGAAGGTTGTTGGCTGTGGAAAGAACACGTAGGGAGAAAGGGCTTCTTTTTGCCTGCAGAATTGCATGGATGAGAGTGATGGGCCGACAGGTGATCATCCGCAGGTCACATTGTCTCATAGGCCACCCTGACTACGCAGTTAAAGGATTTTCCCAGCTCAACCTGCTATATTATGTATACCATTTAGGGGTGCTTTCAGGTCCTACGAATAGGCTAGGCTGAAAGGTATGGACATGACCAACCTTCTAGTCTCTCCTCTCCAGCCTCATACAATCCAAGCGCCATTGATCCATCAACTTAGTACTGTCCACAATGAGTGGCACCACCTCTCCAGGGTTTCAGGCAGGTATCAGGGATCAACCCTTTGGAGGACCTTTGCTTACAGAGGATGTGCTCTACCACTGAGCTATGATCCTTCCCCATCCGTCCCCAATTTTGTTCTTCCAACCTGTCACTAATAAGCTTTCCCCCTCCTGTTTTCATACCATAAAACTCAATGGCTGGCTCTCGCTCTCTCTCTCTGCTAGATATGAAGGCAAACGGTTCATGTTTTTCAATTCACATGTTGAACTTAGGCCTCCATGCGAGGCAGTGAGTACATGATTAGAAAAAGAGGCATTTATCCAATCTGGTGAGAGTAGCAAGGTATAAGAGAGGAATGTAACTAACCGGTAGGATTCTGCAGCTTAGGATCACAGATTTGTAGAATTGGAAGAAGGACCACAAGGGTCATCTTGTGTTCAACCTTCTGTGATGCAGGAATCTTTCATCCAATGTGGGGCTCAAACATACAACCCTGAGATTAAGAGTTTCATGCGCGACTGACTGAGCTATGCATCCTGGGTGTGGGTGGGTGTGCTTTTTTCCTACTTGTGTTACAGAGCCTTTTGTGGTTCCTCCTGGTTCCCTGGAGCTTAACCTCATCTCTATTTCTTTTCTTCCTCAACCAGGGTGAAGCTGGTCCTGCTGGTCCTGCTGGTCCCACCGGTGCTCGTGGTGCTCCCGTAAGTACTTTCTTTTCCATCCTAGAAACACAGAATTGTAGAGTTGGAAGGTACCCCAAGGGTTATCCAGTCCAAACCCCCTGCAACGCAGGGATCTCATTCTTATCACCTTCTCTCATTCTTTGACCCTTCCTTTCATCACCACTGACCAAATGCATTTGTCTCATTTTCCTCCCCAGGGAGATCGTGGTGAGCCTGGCCCTGCCGGACCCGCTGGATTTGCCGGCCCCCCTGTGAGTATGATGACAAGTGTTCAGTTCTCATCAAACTGTTGATTCGTTGCATGTTGGGTGTTGGGTGCAGGGTGGACAATCCCTCCGTTTTGGTGCACATTGTGGCAAACAAGCAGCAACAGTTGACAGGCAAGGTTTGCGACCAGAAGCACCTGTAGATTGTTATCAAGTGATCTCTGGTAGGAGAAAGTTATACGTTCCAGGCATTGCAATTCCTCAGTTAGCAGTGCTCATAAAGTAAAGAAAATAGTCCCAATTTGGGGTATATTCATAGAATCATAGAACTGTAGGGTTGGAAGAAACGCCAAGGGTCTTCTAGTCCAACCCCCTGCAATCCAGGGATCTCGGGTAAAGCATCCGTGACAGATGGCCATCCAACCTCTGCGTATAAACCTCCAAGGAAGGAGAGTCCACCACCTTCCCAGGGAGACCTTTCTACTGTAGAACAATTGCTGTCAGGTTTTTGCTGATGTTTAGTTGGAATCTCCTCTCTTGTAACTTGAAGACATTGATTCAAGTCCTACCCTTCAAAGCAGGAGAAAACAAGCTTCCTCCATCTTCCAGTGCTTGAGATATTTGAAGATGGCTATCATACCTTCTCTCAGTCTCTCTCTTCTTTCCCAGGCTAAACATACACAGTTCCTTCAACTGTTCCTCATAAGGCTTGGAAGAACAATTCGGTTCTCCCTTACCTTCCTCCTAACTACAGCAATCAAGCAGGCATTAATTAGTGCACTGTTGGGGTGGCAAATTCTACCCAGCAGTGCCTTTTTCAGTGCCTTATGCCACTTTTAACCACTTTCACTGCCACCTTGAGGTCCTTTGGAGAACAAGGTAGGGTATGATTAAAATAAATAAAATAGGAGCCCAGACATCAATCTTTCATGTCCTACTTGAATCCATTTTAGGAGTATTTTCCAGAACTGGGTGAACTTGAGTGTAGAGCCACTAAAGAACTGGGTCAGTCAAGAGAGTAAATCACAAGTTGATGTGGTTTCCATGCTGATTCTTGATGACATATGGATCTGCCAATTGCTTTGCAAGTGCTCATCCTCTTTGTCCTCCCAACAAATCCTTTGAGGTTGATTAAACTGTGAGAAAGGTGGTGCTTGAACCCAAAGCTGAGGAGTGGGCACTTGAACCTGGATTTCCCCATGTCCCAAGCTGAACTGCAACCGGGTTGACTCCACTATGTAACTGAGAGAGACTGGGAACTGAATCTCCCAAACCTGATTGAGAACCCTCCTCTCCATTTGCACCCTCCCTGTTCCAGGTTGTGCAAACCTTGCTTCTCATGCTGCCTCTTCCTGTTTGATTCACACCTGGCAGGTTATCAGAAGCAATGTGGTCCAACCTCCTCTGGCACAATGAGATCATTTAGTCAGATGTACTTGGATGATGCAGAGAAAGATCCATCAATATCTTCCATCTTAAGTAGATATGTCTTTCCTTTTCCATCCTTCACCACCACCTGCTCTGCTCTTACCTCCACAGGGTGCTGATGGACAACCTGGTGCTAAAGGTGAACAAGGTGATGCTGGTGCTAAAGGCGATGCTGGTCCTCCCGGACCTGCTGGTGCCACTGGACCTCCCGGACCCGCTGTAAGTGACCCTCTTGTTGCACCCCAATCTCTTCCGTGAACCCATCACCTTCCATCAGCCTTTGGCTTAACGCTGTCTCCCTCCCGCCTGTTGCAGGGTGCTGTTGGTGCTCCTGGACCCAAAGGTGCTCGTGGAAATGCAGGACCCCCTGTGAGTACCTCCTTCTTCTGCATTCTTAAGCTGGGTGCGAGTCAAAAATGCATTCATGTTCAAAACTCAGAGTTTTCACATCCTAAAGAAATCACTCCCAGTTCATCACCCTAGGACATTTAAAGCAGATCGTGGGATAGAAAACTAATGCAGCTCTCGGCTGCAGCAGTGGGCTGCAGAAATAAACCATAGAAGGGATCGTGCAACCTCTGCCCAGAAAGATCACAGTCTATGCGAGGTGGGCAAGACAGGGCTCTTTAGCACCTGATCCAAAATAGTTAATCGGTATTCACAGCAGACCAGCTTCACCGTGGTGAGGAAAAGTCTCTGTGTATGTTCAGAGGCTCTCACTAGCTAGCCTAAACCCATCTAACACACAAGAAGGGGGAGGGGGAATCACATTCCAGAGCTTGCCACTGGCAGGTTTTAGGCTGAAATTAAGCCCAAGCTGATTGCAATGCAATTAACCTCGATCACGTCATCCAAACTGGTTTAGCTGCATGATGTATGAGGATCTCTAGCTGGTAGAAACAAATAATAAAATAAAATAAAATTGGCACCCTTTTTCTGCATACCCAGAAGCAGTAGTGACAAGATGCTAGAAGAGCTGAGATATCATTATCTTTCTGTGGCAAGGAGCTTCGGCATTGCAAAGAGGTTGCCGAACTGAGAAATTAAGACGAAATCCATTGCAGGATCCTACTAAGTGGGGAATCTGTGTTAGAATCACACGTACAGTTCCTGCTTGGTAGGGGAGGAGTTATTGAAAAGGAACCTTCTCTTTCGTTCCTTTCATAGGGTGCTACTGGATTCCCTGGAGCTGCTGGAAGAGTCGGACCCCCTGGCCCATCTGTAAGTACCCTCCCACAAAACACACACATGCCGGCATTGTGGGCAACAATTTAGAAAGCTGTTACACAACCCCGAGGTAGCTGGTGGTGGGAAAGGATGCTCAGTAGGAAGTTCCTTAGAGCCTACATTAGAGGACCTACAAAGATATATGTTGACTCTCTTGGCAGCAGAGAGGATGGGAAAAGAGGGCCATAAGGTAGAAAAGATACAGATTGAGAATAGTGCTGAATCAATTCCTATCTAAATATATACAATGGTTTTAGTCCGAACCAGAAGCATTCCTTATAGAATTGGAAAAGTTGGAAGGGACCACAAGAGTGATCTAGTACAACCCCCTTCAAGTAGTCTTTGTACATCCACTTTTATTTTTATACTCCCAAGTTTGCAAACTGGATATCCAGGTTTCCCCCCAAATTTTTAGCTCCATCCCCCCCACAATAATAATAAAAAAAGCCTTCAGACACAGCAGAAATTGTTGGGCCTTATGGATTATTATGGCACACAAGAATCTCTAAGTATTTTTATACCACTATCTTAATGGCCATTCCGTCTTCGTGGAATTGCAGCTGGGGAGGAGAGGCCAAGGGTCTTTTAGCATTAAGTTCTCAGCATCCTTGCCCAATCTGCAGTCCACAGGATTTGCTGGAGCAAACCATGACATTTAAATGACACTGTCACATAAGCATGGGCAGGCTTTTCGTTTCAGTTTGCTCTGCTTGGAGCTGCACCTGATTCGAAATGCGGTGGCCCAAGCTTTTGGCTGTCTCTAGGAACATGCAACCCAATGCAAAAACTAGCTGGTGGGATGGAAACTCCTCATTCTCAGTGACCCACTAGAACCTCACTGGGGTGGGGTGGGGGTCCTTCCTCAAAGATGCTTCATTTCGGGTCACTGTTCCCAAACTCAACACACGGCCTGTGAGTGTCATTGATTTCCTTGTCCTCTTTTCTTTCCCCCCAAAGGGTAACATCGGCCTTCCCGGCCCCCCAGGCCCTGGTGGAAAGGAAGGTGCCAAAGGACCCCGTGGTGAGACTGGACCTGCTGGACGCCCTGGTGAAGCTGGACCTGCTGGCCCACCCGGACCTCCTGGCGAGAAGGGCTCTCCTGGTTCCGATGGACCTGCTGTAAGTAAATGCCACCTCTTACCTTTCATTCCTCTTGAACGGGATTGCTTGAGCCAAAGTTGGGCGCCCCCTCCATGGGGTTATCTCCCTGTCGCAACATCTGGCTCCCTGATGGCAGCCCAGCTGCCATGTTAACGATTTCTCTGCCTTAAATTGGCTCTGGAATTTCCCACTGCTTGTGCAAATCTTTATGGCTGCACCTCTTCAGTGGCGATGTTCTAGTGAGCATCGTTGAAATGCCACATAATGGCTTCCTACATTATAGACCAGATCCATTAGTTCAGATTGTTGCTTGCCAAGTGTTTGGGTTTTTTAATGTGGGATGTGTTTCAGTGGAAAAGGTAGTCCTTGCCATGCATGGTCACACTTTGCTTAAAGAGAGCCTGAAGGAAAATCCCCTAGCCAGCCAAGATACAACAAGGTGTGGGCTCCTTTAGGCAAGGATGGAAAGCCTCATGGGCATTACTCACAACGTAAAGTGGAGTCAGGACATCCAACAGTTCTTCTGCTTCAAGCAAGCCCACCATGTTCTTATTTCCCAGCCTGTCTGGGGTCTTCTTTCTTCTTCGGTGATCACTTGTAGCTGAGTAAGATTGTCTTCCATAAACACGGTTTAACAGTGAGTCTGTAAGTGACCTGGAGGCCAATTCTGGATCCACACGTCCTTCCACAGTGTCTGGGTTATGCCCAGCTCGCCTCCAACCCTTCTGCAGTGCAGCATAATGCTGGCAAAAACAAAATGTGTTTTTCCAACCAGGAGCTTCTCTGTTGACATCTCAAGCTCATGTCCGTTTTCCTCCTGTAGGGCGCACCTGGTACTCCTGGCCCACAAGGTATTGCTGGACAGCGTGGTGTCGTCGGTCTTCCTGGACAAAGAGGCGAGAGAGGTTTCCCTGGTCTTCCCGGACCATCTGTGAGTGCTCCCCTTCAGCTTTTCTCTGACAACTCTGCGCAGAAAGTCTGTGTTCAGTTTCCTTCTGGGGCTGGTGTTTGTGGGCTGGGGAACAGCGAGGAAATTTTTATTTGAGGGGGGAATGTTTCTTAAGTGGACTCAGCCACATAGAAGGCTGAAAACGCAAGGATACATAAAAGCAAAATAGACACACACACCCCGAGTCTAACTGGAATATATGACCCAAGTATACCCAGCGCCCGCAATTAGAAGTTTAGTTATCAATTGGCAAAGCACTCAATTGCATCAACTCCAAAGGTGCAAGAATCTAGCTAGCTGAACAGGTCCTCCTTCAGACCTGTGATCTGTCCCAGCAGTTGCAGCAGCAGTGCACCATGCCTCCTCCAGCCCATTTACACCACCACCTCAGGACATGGTGCATGCAAGCAACCAGTGACTTTTCCTGCGTGTCATGTCCGGCTGCTCCTGTCCCTTCAAGCCCCTCCTCATCCTTGGAGACCGTGCAGGAGGGGACAGAGGAGATTCGATTCCCTGCAGCTGTTCCCCTGTCTCTGACTGCCCAGCCTCTTCCTTTCCCCGCTGCCTCATTGGTGGCACAGAATGTCACAAATAACTGGCCCTTCCCCTGGATCATTCTCCTGCCCTGCTGCCTCCTCTGCCCATCCCTTCAGACTCCTGCCTCTCCCTGACAATATACTTCAGTGTCTGATGACTCAGCCTGAAGTCTATGCTTGGCATACGAGGCCCAAAGAACAGGAGGGAACACAGCAAAGTTTCAGTTTGAGTTGCTTGTTCAGGTTTAGTCTTCAGCACTCTTGTGCTAAACACATTTACATAGAAGCCAACATCAGCGGTACATCTGCAGATACGAGGGATTTGGATCGCAGCTCGGGTCTCAAAACAAGGCTTCTTTTCATCCTTGTGCTGCTCTTTGTTTCTGCTCCTAATATAATGCATAATAACTATGGGCTCTGTCGTCGTTTTCCTTAGTGGCAGTATGAGTGTGCATTAACCCAGATAATCGCTTTTGTTTCCTCCAAGGCCAAGAATAAAAAATAAATAAAAGGTCAATACCATTCTCCTGTAGAAACAGAGCAACATGTTTTCTATATTGCATCTATGGGTTAGGGTTACCTTACCTTTTGCCCCGGGCCTTCTTAGGCACAAGTCTTGCGTTTTAAAGCTCTGTATCCAAGAGTGGTTGTTTCCCCCACCACCACCACCACTTTCCCCAGGAAAACCTGCTCTTTAAAGCTGAATCGGAACAAACAGCAATTCAGGTTTTCTGTAGATTGCTGTTTGCTCCAATTCAGCAGTTCGGAGTGGGTTTTTGCAGGGAAAGCGCAAGGACAACAACAACAAAATGCTCTAACACAGAGATTTGAAATGTGGACCTGTGCCTAGAAAAATGGCCCAAAAGGAAGTCTGGATGAGCTAAGACAAAGCACTGTTTATTGTTTTAGCTTGCTCACAAATACCTGCACAGCCCCTGGCCGAATTGCTGAAAAGTGAAGGCTAAACCCTGGAATTCAGTTCCAAATCTTCCCTACCCCATCAAAAAGACTTATCATTCAACCACAAGTTCTGTGAATTGTCAAAAGAAAGAAACATTTCTAGGGAATCCTGTTGATCATATTAATTGTAAGCCCCGAGACAGGACGTCCCGAAAGATGTAGTAACATTCATCTGTTCAGGTTTTTAATATGAGCATCTTGCTAGGTCTTTGAAATGCATTTGACATATTTTCTGTGTTTTAAGGGCAGATGTTGTTGTTTTTTTGAGGAGTGCAACTGTTTCTTAGAAGCAGCTCACAAATTTTTGGAATTCTGTTTTAAAAGAACCATCCACAGCTCCCCAGAACAGAAAAAAAACACAGCTGTGTGTACTGGAAATGAAAATAATTCTGAGGGGAAAGTTCTCAAGCAAGTTCCTCTAGCTCAATCTTGACTCTGTCCTCTCTTAATGAGGATTTGTCTCACAGCCTAGACCGCTAAAGATGTAGCTGGATTAAGGGGTACAGGATAGGGGACAAGGTGGGGAGGAGTTAAAATATTGAACTTGGTCAGTTATAACTTAATATTGTTGCCTTAAGCACTGATCAAGAAGACAAAAAAATTTGGTTTTGCAAAGTGTTTTATAAATCTCAGTTTTCAAAGCTGAAACAGATTCAATTTGCAAAATGCAAATCTGGTTTGAAAAAACTTCCTGGATTCTCAATATCAGGAAGTGAGCGAGCTTTCATAAATAGAACAGTGCTCTGGGTTCTGCGGTATCTAGAAAAGTGATGTAAGCCATACAAAACAAAACTCCATAGAAATCGATTATCTGAGACTAGCCCATGCTTTATACAACAGATGCTTCCCTAGTTCTGAAATGCAGAGCTATATATTTCAAGTGATATAGAACCCTATGGAGAAGATAACCTTCCCTGGCCCCATCCCATAACCCATGTTGCATTGAAAGTTCTTCTTTAGTGCTTTCTGAGATCCCAGGGAACAGAATTCAAACTCTGCCTAGACTAGGCTCCTTCTTTCGCTCTTTTTAACTGTAGTTAACCGTGGTCAAGCATGATGTGTGAATGCGAGTCCTCTCCTGCTGTCTTCCTCCCGCCTCCTTCTGTATCTCAACAACTGGATTCTTTTTGTTCTAACTGGGACTGATCTCCACAGGGCGAGCCTGGCAAACAAGGCCCATCTGGTCCTTCTGGTGAACGCGGTCCTCCCGGCCCAATGGGACCACCTGGCTTGGCCGGACCCCCTGGTGAATCTGGACGTGAGGCAAGTCTTCCAATTTCCATGGGAGCTCCGGACTCCTAAACTTGTTCACCTTTCTCTGTCAAACCCCAGTCTCTTACCATTGATCAGAAATATGGTCCTAGTCAAACTGTGCAGTCAGTGGTAAAATGCAGGTGCAGAATGCCTTGGCATCCCCCAGCTAAAATAAGCTTTGATAAGAACCTCTATCTGGAGCCTTGGAAAGTAAGGCAATACTGGGCTAAATAGACCAATGGTCTGGCTCAGAGCAGTGTAGCTTCGTGAGGGACCATGATCAGGGTCATGCTTTACTTGCAGAAGATACCATGTTTGTTCCTTAGCATCTCCTGTTAAAAGTATATTCAAGCAGGCTGCTGCCTGAGACCTTGGAGATATGGTGCCTGATTTTTTTTGCCCTTACAGAGGATAGACAATACTGCTAGGTAGACCAGTAGTCCTCCTTAGTTAATAATAATAATAATAATAATAATAATAATAATAATAATTTATTATTTATACCCCGCCCATTTGGCTGGGCTTCCCCAGCCACTCTGGGCAGCTTCCAACAAAATATTAAAATAACAGTAATGCATCAAACATTAAAAGCTTCCCTAAACAGGGCTGCCTTCAGATGTCATCTAAAAGTCTGGTATTTGTTGTTCTCTTTGACATCTGGTGGAAGGGCATTCCACAGGGCGGGTGCCACTACCGAGAAGGCCCTCTGCCTGCTTCCCTGTAACTTGGCTTCTCACAGTGGGGGAACTGCCAGAAGGCCCTCAGCGCTGGACCTCAGTGTCCGGGTAGAACAACATACGGCAACTTCATATGTCCGTAAATCCTTACTAGTAGATGTGCATTGAATAATATAGTTCAGTTACAGAGCTGAATAGTTTTAACTCAGTTCTAGATCTCCCATGGTAGCTAGAGAGTTCTAGAGTTTCAACACCACCACAATCTCAGTCTCACCATCTTTCTTCTTGGCTGACAGGGCTCTCCTGGTGCAGAAGGTGCTCCCGGTCGCGATGGTGCTGCTGGTCCCAAGGTGAGTTGAACATGCATGTGTGTATGCAGCAGGTGTCCGGAACGGGCCGGTGTCGCAAGACCCAGGTCCGATAACTTTGCAAAACGAAAGACTTGATTTCACAAACGCACACCGGTTCTGAGCTTTGATCGCCTCTTCTTGCCTTTCCCTTTCCCAAACAGGGTGATCGTGGTGAGACTGGCCCAGCTGGTGCCCCTGGCGCTCCCGGTGCCCCCGGTGCCCCTGGCCCAGTTGGCCCTGCTGGCAAGAATGGCGACCGCGGCGAGACTGTAAGTGGCGCTTCCTTTCCTTCTGCTACAACGTTTTCTGAATCCTTCATTTTTCCGAATTCCACTAGGCCACATATATGCAAACCGACTTATTCCAGATCAGTGGATCTGAAATAATGCCAGTCATTCACAACTTTCCGCTTTCATGATCAGTAAAGATTCAGGCAAGATGGGTATTCGTTTGCAGATGACATAGGCATACCCTCCACACCCAGCTTCAGGATCTTACATATTTCAGGAGCGTGCCTTCGTACTTAATTAACATGGAACGCATGCCACTTCTGGTCCTGTGCTCACATTCGCTAAAGGGGCTCTCTTTCACGCTGCTTTAATTAACTTGGATTGGCATCCACCTATGGCTCCTCATTTGTTAGTTCGAAATAATTACTCGAGCCATATGAGAGCGCTGTGGGGGAACCTCTTCCATTACACTCTCCCCATCCTTATTGCAACTCTGCCAGAGGATTAATGAGGTCACTCATTTGTGATCTTCCACTCAAATCCTATGGAACATCCCAGGATTTCGCTAGCAAATGCAGGAATAGACAACTCCCAGATTTATTCGTTGGCGTGCTTATATCCTGCCTTTTTCATCTTTGGAACTCGAGGCAGTCTGCGTGGGGGTTCCCAGGTGGTCCCCCATGCGAATCCTGAGCAGACCTAAATTTGCTTAGCTTCAGCAAGGTGGATGCAGCCATCTGGTGGCCATATATGCCCACCTACACATCCTAAACACCAGGCTGGCTGCAATAGTGAATACACTTTATAACTAAGAATCCAACAAACAGATAGACAGAGAGATGGACAGACTCTACAGACAGACTCGAGCTCTTCCTGCTATGATTGCCCTCCCTTCCAAGGACTGGGCTCCTAAAGGAATAAGTTGCATGCTCAATTACATGCGGAATTTTAAAAGCGATGATATGTACATTTTCTCCTTTTCTCTTTCCCTCTAGGGTCCCGCTGGCCCTGCTGGCCCCGCTGGCCCTGCTGGTGCTCGTGGTCCTGCAGTAAGTTTGGGCTTTGAAATGTCCTCTCTCTTTCTCTCTTTCTTTTCATAAAATCATAGAATTGGAAGGGGTCGCAAAGGCCATCTAGTCCAACCCCCTGCAATGCAGGAATCTTTGGCCCGGCATGGGATTCGAACCCATGAGCGTGAGAGTAAGAGTCTCGTGCTCTACCAGCTCAGCTATGTTATACTGGTAGAATATATAATATGCTATTCAATAAGGCTGAATGGATATACTTGGACACTTCCTGTCTGTATGATGTCTGCTACCTTTGCCTTATGGTTGAAATACAACTGGAAATAAGCACTCCAAGTTCATATCCCGAGTTACGCAGAGTGACTTGCTGATAGGCATTTCCTTCCTTTCTCCTTTGTGAAAGCCCAATAAGCCAATTTTTAAAAATAAAAATTAAAATCTTGCTTTCCGTTTCTAGGGCCCACAAGGTGCTCGTGGTGACAAGGGTGAGACTGGCGAACAAGGTGACAGAGGAATGAAGGGTCACAGAGGATTCTCTGGTCTCCAGGGTCCCCCTGGCCCCCCTGTAAGTACCAGAAAGCTCTTTGCCATTTTTGGTGCAGAGAAGCTCCAGACGTCACAGACCTCCGTACCCTCTGACATTTCTCAAATAGGGACGTCCTAAGGAAAAGTGGGACCAAATCCAGGATCAAATCAGAAACTAGGACAGCTTCTCTTAAGTCAGGGGCATCCCTGGAAAATAGGGACACATGGAGGGTCTTGCTTTAAGGCTTTAGTCCTCGTGAAGGAGAGAAATGTCCTCACACAAATTAGAGCCTTGCACCTCTGATCTAGAGAGCTAGAGCTTTCCTATCTCATTTCTGTGGCTTAAGACGGTCTGGAAAAGAAGGACAGACCTTTCTTTCAATAGCCACAATAACTTAAATTGAGCCTCTGCATTCAGAGGAAACCTACCTCCTTCCCCACCCTGTTTTCTGAACTCCCCAGAGGCCTCTGACTAGCCACTATTCAGAGACAGGTGGATCTCGGTCCAGTTGTTTAATGAGCAAAAGCTACCGTCGCTTTCTGCAAGGAAATTCCACCTTTGGATACCTTTTTGATGAAACATCTAGTCGGGGGGTGGAGGAAAGAAAAGGGGGAGCTTTGACATCTATTTGGCCTGTACGACTGCAGGTCCTTGAAGGTTCCCCAAAGCCCTCGCCCATTAATCGGCTTCCGTTTACAATTCCATCCAGATCTCCTATTGCACCAACTTACTTAAATCAAAACTTGTAATTCCAGTTTTCCAACTTTTAGAGACAGAGGGCAGGCTAACGAGCAACAATTTTGTTCCTAAATTTCTTCAGCTACCCATATGTATTTTTTCCCCCTTCCCCTTACAGACGTCAGTTTCGTCACGCCATGCATTTTGCAAATAAGTGCTTGCCTGCGTTCATGCACATCCCCATTTGTTCCACGCATTCCTCCGCCCAGAAAGGCTTTGAGCCTGCCATGTGGTTGAAAGCAGCAGTGGGCCTCAGCTGTCACTCGGTGTATAGTTGTTGTCACTGAGCAGTGGCCAAGGCAGGCTTGGGCCTACCTTAGCAGCATAGAAATAAGAACTTTAAAGATGGAGGCCTTAGATTGCTATGGCTTCCTTTGGGTCCCTCGTTAACGCAGCCCTCTTAATTACACAGTGGCAAGATTGGAGAAGATGTATTTAGACCTCCACACACCCCAAAGCAATCTGCATTTGATATACATTTCTTCCTGGTCCCAAATGCAAATACAGTATGCTACCCAGTAGTTGGGACGAACATGGGCAAGGCATATGAAAAATAGGCCACAAAAATATTGCCTATCCTTCTTTCCACCGAAGACCTAGAAATCTAAATGCTGAAAGGCTTCCATTTGAGATATACCCAGTTTCCATTGTACTGAATGAAACCTTTTTTAAAAAAAAATATAGGGTTGCCATATTTCAAAAAGTAAAAAGCAGGACACCCCCCCCCCCCCCAAGCAATTTTTCTATTGACTTGCCTAAGATCCAGAACAAAGCGCCGCCTTTCGGAATTTCCTCCCTGACGTCAGTTCCACCTTTGAAATTCCAGTAATGTCTGGGAAAATCCAGACATATGGCAGCATAGATATCATTTTATTTTATTTTATTTTGTACTGAGTGAACCTATTGGTTCCCGTTGCCACTTGGAAGAGTAGATTGATGAAGGAACACATATGAGATTGGCATGGACAGAAGCTAGATTGATACTTCCTCTCTGTAACTGAACAGGATTGCATTTTCTGCCATTTAAATAAACCTGTTTTCCCCCAGATGATCATCAAAACTGACAATTTTTTCTTTTGTGCAGGGCTCTCCTGGTGAACAAGGTCCCTCTGGTGCTTCTGGTCCTGCTGGTCCAAGAGTAAGTATGGATTGGGCTGTAAAGCGCAGCATTATAGCTATTAGCTATTATTGCTAGACTTTAGTCCTTCTATGCACCTGTTGTTGTTGCCGCTGCTGCTGCATTCATGTTAACAACGAAAGCTTCACTCATGGTACATTTTTGCACTGCGTTCCTGACAGGGTCCCCCTGGCTCTTCCGGTGCCGCTGGCAAAGACGGTCTGAATGGTCTTCCTGGCCCCATTGGCCCACCTGGTCCCCGTGGTCGCACTGGTGATGTTGGTCCTGCTGTACGTATTCCTTCTCACTGTACAAAGCTCATAGTTATCAGCACAATGGGTGGATGATATCTTTGCCTACCTACTCTTCTTATTTTCCTTCTCCAGGGTCCTCCCGGACCTCCTGGACCACCCGGTCCCCCAGGCCCACCCAGCGGCGGCTTTGACTTCAGCTTCCTGCCCCAGCCTCCTCAGGAGAAAGCGCACGATGGTGGCCGCTACTACAGAGCTGACGATGCAAACGTGATGCGCGACCGCGACCTGGAAGTCGACACTACCCTCAAGAGCCTGTCCATGCAGATTGAGAACATCCGCAGCCCTGACGGAACCCGTAAGAACCCAGCCCGCACTTGCCGCGACCTGAAGATGTGCCACGGAGACTGGAAGAGTGGTGAGTACAGTCGGGGGGAAAACAATTCTCAGGTGCATCTCTTAAATGCCACGAATTCTCCTTTTTTCTGGACCACGTCCGTTGGCAGAATGGCTCTGCCCTGCTCTTTCCTTCTCCGTATATCAATCTTCTCACTTCCCCTCTCTTCTCTGTCATGTTGACCTTTCTCTTTCACTTGGGGATTGTTTGCACAGCCAAGCATATAGTTGTTTTCTCAGGTCCAGGGCCAGGAATGGATTTTCCACCGGAGCTGACTGGGCAGTGATTTGGGTGCCTTTTCTCACAGCCTCTTCCCTAAATAACATGCTTGAGTCAAGCAGAACGATTAATTCTCCCAAGTAGCTTCTATCTGCAGAATGTGACTTGCATTTACTTAGGTCCTAAAGGGTGAAGTGGGCCTTCTAAGTTGCTGTAGAGCTTCTAGCTCCAGCCCAGGCTCTTCTCTGGCCCCTCTCCCTTCTCCTACAAAAAAAATATGCTTAGGAAGCAGAATGTCATTTCTTGTGTAGATAATTAATGCTGGGAAGTGATGGGGCAACCATCTATTTTTTATAATACACATCCACCTCCCCCTGTTCCCTGGCTCTCTGAAGTCCATCTCAGCCATACATAGGTAGTTCTCTTTTCTGTTCTTTTGTTTTTAGCTGTTTGCCTCCTCGTCTTGTATGGAGTAAGGCTTGGGCAGATATTTTCCTGACCCACTTGGGCAAGTCTGAGAACTCATTGCATGGGGGGTGGGATCTGTGAGATAGGAAAAAGCAGGAGGGGGCAAATGGTTGGCCAGCCCCCTTTTAGATCAGGTTGGCGTAAATTGATGTTTTGTTTTGTTTTGCTCCTGTGATCCATTCTCCATCATCCCCATTCACTTGACCCCGTTCCTCACCAGGTGAGTACTGGATTGACCCCAACCAAGGCTGCAACCTTGATGCCATCAAGGTCTACTGTAACATGGAGACTGGAGAGACTTGTGTCCAAGCTTCTCAGCCCACCATCCCCCAGAAGAACTGGTACATCAGCAAGAACCCCAAGGAGAAGAAGCATGTCTGGTTTGGCGAAAGCATGTCCGATGGCTTCCAGGTGAGACCAGGAATCGGTGAGGCAGCGACAGTTAACCAGCAAGTGGCTTAGCTGGGACTGTATTCTGAGTTGGGACCGGAGAGTTATTTCAGGATCAGGTTTCCTCCAAGTCACCTGCTGAACTAGAATGGATACGAATTCCACATGAATTCCATGTGCGGAAAGAATGTCACAGGCAGAAGAACCTGGTGACTGCTTGGTTGTTTCAATGGAAGCTCTGGGACTGTTTAGCAAGAGGATGAAAAGACTGAGAATAGATAATCGCCTTAATGCACAGGTAGGAGCGGCCTCAATGAGACTGAGAAATCCATGTCGACTTTCCATGTCTGCCATAGAATCTGCTCAGATTGTAACCAGAAAGATTAAGTTGCCCATTGAGAAAGGGCCTTTAGCTGTAAAAGGCGAAAGAGCCCTGGAATTGGTTGCCTAGGGAGGCCTGTGCATCATTGGGCTTCGTTGGAATGGGCTTGATTCACAAGGCAGAACCTGGATGGTGGCTTGATGTCACTTCCAACCTTTATCCAAGGATGTTGAACACGACAGATGAAAAATGGACAGGAAGGAGGGAATTTATGTTGACCAAGGTGCCTCGAAGTACAATTCCTGGTGCTTGCAGGAAGTTGGGCTTGATGGCTCCTTAAATCACTTCTAACTCTATGATACGTGGAAGCAAAAGGGAGAGGGGAAGATCATTGGTTAAAAGCAAGCATAGGCCAATTTTCAAGTGATATATTCCAGAGGTTCAGCTGGGCTTGACTTAGCATGCTGGAGTAGTCTAGCTCAAAGAAGCTGTAGATGCTGCAACTTGGAAAAGCAGTCTGTCAAGAAGAATGTATACCTGTTGCCTCATCTATCTCTCTACATCTCATTTCCAAGCTGGATTTTGGGCAGCAGTCAGCTTAACTGGCTTTGCCCATTATTGCATTACTTCCTGCCTCGGCCCTCTGAGCATGAAGAGAAAGCAAAGGAGCTGGTTAGATTCCTAGATATAGCAGGGGGTGGGGTTCCTAGAGGACATGACACGAGTGCTAACCACTTCCTTGCTTCCTCCTTCCCTCCATCTCCAATGACAGTTCGAATATGGTGGCGAGGGATCCGACCCAGCTGATGTTTCCATTCAACTGACCTTCCTGCGGTTGATGTCCACTGAAGCTTCCCAGAACATCACCTACCACTGCAAGAACAGCGTGGCTTACATGAACGCAGAGACCGGCAACCTGCAGAACGCTCTGCTCCTCCAAGGCTCCAACGAGATCGAGATCAGAGCAGAGGGCAACAGCCGCTTCCTCTATGGAGTCCCTAAGGATGGTTGCACGGTGAGCGATTGGGTCTTTAGATGTGGGGTGGGGGGTACAATAGATTCTCTCTCTCTCAGACTGGAGACCTTGTGCATAAGCTGCAGTGTTTTACTCACAGCTGGCAGGGGAGTTCCCCTTCTATACCTCCTGCTAAAACCATGCTTTGGAACTGGGAGACAATCCATATAAAACAACGCCATATGTAAGAATGGCCAGAGGCAGGGGGAAATAGGGGTAGGCAGGTGTGGCTGAGGAAGTCAGGACTGCAGGTTGACCTCTCAGTGCTGTGATTCCTATCTGTGTTTGGAAACACATACACTGGGTGCTTTTCAGTGCTGAAGCATGGCAGATGAGGGATGGAATATCCCTATTCAGCAAAAGAACCCTCTGAAAGATCTCAGGACGGGGAAGCCGTGGCCCGCCAGAAGTTTGTCGGACTTCAGTTCCCATCAGCTCCATGAGCAGTGCTCAGGAGTGATGGGGGTTACAGTCCAATAATATCTGGAAGGCCGCAGTCTCCATACTGCTGCCATAATAAATCCTCAGAACCTGCAAAGGTGTATCTTCGCTTAGTATAGCGGTCCCTACTTGCTTGTGCTCTTGACATCTGGATCGGGGACAGACTCTTGGACGTTTTAGTGGTTCCCTTTGAAGGCACATCCTGCTTTTTGAGCCAAAAGGCCTTCAAGGCAAGAGAGGGTCCAGATGGCTGAGTCCACAGTAGCTTAAATCCATCAGAAGACAGTGATAGCTCAAGATCAGATGGTGTGATTGCTCCCCCTGGCTATTCATGGTGGCTTCCTCTGGACTTAAGGACCTGGATTCTGGTCATGCAGAAGATAGACCATAACATATCCTCCAACTTCTATGTTGGTTCTGCCTCTTCTCTCACAGTGCCCTGAATCCCTGAAGTTCTAAATGCCGGAGTAATTATGTGGCACAATGGGATGGGCATCCAGGGTGGGGAAGGCAGGAGCCAGCTTTTAGGAGCACGGTTGACCAGGGAGAAAGTTCAGGTCGGATGTGGGGAGGGGGTGTCATTCCTCTGTACTCGGAAGCTTCAAAAGTCTATGGAGCCAAAAACAAAATTCTGATTTCTAAATTCTGATTTTTCCCTCCCTCTGCAGCGTCACACTGGCAGTTGGGACAAGACAGTCATCGAATACAAGACAACAAAAACTTCCCGGTTGCCCATCATTGATGTGGCTCCCATGGACATTGGTGGTAGAGACCAGGAATTCGGCTTTGAGATTGGACCAGTCTGCTTCTTGTAAACCCAAAAGGAAACCTGACAGTTTAAAAAATAAAATAAAAAACAGCCAAAAAAGAAGGAAATTTCACATGGACTTGAATTTGTGTCTTTTTCTATCCATCATCTCTAAAACTATTTTTGTTTCCGTTAAAAAAAAAAACAAAAAAAGCATTAAACCAAAAAAATAAAAATAAATGACTTTTCAAAAATAATTAAGGAAGTGCATCCACTTGCTTGACTTTATTATTATTATTATTAAAATCCCCAAAGACAGAATGGTTTGATTTTATCTTCTTCTTTTTGAAAAAAGAGCAAGTAATATTGTGGGACCAATATTTGTACATTCCAAAAAATACATATATAAAAACCATACAAAATGACAAAATCAGTCGAAACCAAGCAACACCTGAAATACATCTGTATGAAAATCTGGTGTGTCTTTTTATCTTCCTGGCAGCAATCAGAGCAATACTAAACTTAGTGGTAGAACCTGCCCATCACAACCCCATCAAAAATAACCTCCCTTCCTCTCAGCCCAGAGCTGTAATAATAAATAAATCCCAAAATCTACCTATAGACCATCTTTCTCTGCTGGTACCTGATAGAAAGAGATTTATCTTTCTCTCTCTTTTTTATTTTTACTCAGAGCAATGCCACTGAAAAGATGATTCTTTCAGCCATTTTAAATGTTTTTTTCAGTTTTGTTCAGTCGGCAACAGGGATAAATTTGGCGAAGTTATCATAAAAAAAAGGTGTGGCACTGAGTGGTTTTTCGAAACAGAAACCTGTTTGAAGGAAAAGAACAGGTGCTTGTCCCTCTCAGAGACATCAGGTAGAGGGGGGAAAAGACAGGTTTAAGAGCTTTAATTATTTTGTCGGTGAGCAACTGAAGGAAAAAAATGGCCAATAATACCAGAAAGCAGAGAAAATGTAATGTTTAAATGTATATTATTGTTGTATGGATGGCTACCTCACCATTGTCTTTTTCAAGTTCTTTGGGGTAGTTTTGGGGTCTTTTTTTTAATACTAGCATCAGCTTGCATGGAGGGGGGGTGAAGAAACTGGGCAGAGTTTCAGGTTTAGATAAAGGTGCTACCTGTGTCTTTCATATATCTTTTTTTTTTTAGTCTGCTATGTTAATAATTTTCAGGTCCCATGAACTTTTTTTTGTTTTTTTTTTGAGGTGACAAAACCTAGAAAAACCTCGCCCCAAGCACAGCTTTGCTGAAAAGGGGGCCATTTGGTGCTATAGAAATGAGATTATTGGAGGGGAAAAGCAAACTGGATGCCTTGCTGCCCAGAGATACTTGTGAATTTTTTCTTTCAAAAGGTGCTATTTCTTTTTTAACAAGCAAAAATAATAATTAAAAAAATCGAGGATGAGGAAAAAAATAAATCAAACATTGCTACAAGGGATCAAGGTCTCAGCAGTTTCTGTCTTTCTCTTGTAAAGCAGGTGGATTCTCTTTTGGCTTGTATTTTCTCCCCCATTCCCTCAGTTCTTCTCCTCCATCACCACCTCTCTCTCTTTTTCTCTCTTTCTTCCATCTTTCGTCCCATCCCACAAGCAAACACTTTTGCTCATCGCCCTCCCTCGTTGCTGATTCATTCTTCCCTTTCTTATCCACCTCTTTCTCCTCAGCTCTGCCAACATCACCCCTCATCTCTCTTTTTCTCCCCCCCCTCCACTTTCTGTCTTTCATTGGGTTTCCGACTCAAGCAAAAAAACCCATAATTCCTCTCTTTCTCACAAGAGGCAGATGTTGTAGGGAGTGTGAGCGGCCGAAGATTCTGTACCTATTTTGTATATGTATAATAATTTGAGATGTTTTTAATTATTTTGACTGCTGAAATAAAGCATGTGAAATGATCCAACACACCGGTTGTTCTTCGGACTTTTTCTGTCACGCAAGGCCAGGGCGTCGGTTGGGAGAATGGGGCAAAGGCTTCCTGCACTTTTACTGGTGTGCCTAACATTTCAAACGTGAGCCGCTTTGGGAAATTATCATTACTAACCAGTGCTATTTTTTTTTCTAGAAAAAGAGGTGCCGGAACTCACCATGAACACCTCCCTTGTTGTCTTATAATGGCACCCATCTGAAGGGTGCCAGAACTGAGTTCCGGCGAGTTCCGGCTAGATAAGAAATGCCCTGTTCTTAATTGTCATGGCTTTCCTCAAGGAACCAAGGGGAACACAGTTGTGTGAGGGCATTGAGATAATTTTCTGTCAGAGACAGGGAAGAGGAGCCCAGGTCCTTCATATGTTCCTGGACTTCCAAGTCCCATCAGCCCCTGGTCAGAAATGGTGGGACTTGTAATCCGGCAAGATCTTGAAGGCCACAGAATCCTTGCTTTGGGGAGAAACATGTCCCTGCGTTTCTCACTGGGAGCCCCACCAATTGACATTTGCAGTGTGGGCATGCTGTAGCCTGAGGGAAAGGAGTCTGAGTTTTGTTCCTTCGCTTAGTTCTTCTGACAACTTCTCCCTTTGCATGGTCCTGTCTCATCCTCGCTCTCTTCTTGTATGCCTGGTTATTTCCTCCCACCCCACAACTTCTTCTAGAACTGGTCAATATGTCCCCTGCCCCACCCAATGCTGTTATTAGGCTTGGCAACTTCTAACCGCCTGGCTCCCATATGTTTTAACACAGAGAGACAGGGGGGAAAAAAACTTAAGCAGGTAAAGCACTCATCGTTTTAGGTCCCTGCGAAGAAAAATGCCTCTTGTCACTTTGTGGGTCACACTCCTCCCAGCAAAAACGCACCACACCTGTCCTCCTGGCTGCCACCCTCATCCTCAGTTCGACAGATTCATTTTGATTCAATTTTTTCCCTCCCTGTCTCCAGATATTTCACCTCAGACATTTGCCCCCACAGGAATTCCCTGCTGGTTTTCAGCCACCGTGAAATTTCTCTTTTAACCCTCCCTCCCCACCATCTCAAAACCCCCAGAGAGCTGGAAGAAACAAGCAAACAGCCAACCCACCACCCAACCATTCGGTTTCATAAAAGAGTGGCAATGAATTCAGGACAAAGAAACATATAAAAACTAAAAACTTAGCAAAATGCTGAGGAAGATGGTACTCCTCGAGGCAGGAGGCTTAAATTCCGACAAATATTTATAAAGCAAAAAAACTTTCTGAGAATATTCCACCCTGAAAATTTCTTTTTCACACTCACATTTCTCCCCTCATATATTTCCCCCCCTCCCTCTTCACTATGAGCCGGAGAACACCTTTCTTTTAAAGGAAGCTGAACAAATTCAAGAAACCAAAAGCCCATCTCCCCTCCCACAAACAAAATATCAGTTCCATTTTTAAAAAAGCTGCCCCAACACCACAATGGTCACTTTCCCATCCTGCAATACATTCTTGCAAAGTGTGATTTATGAGGGTGAAAGGCCAGAGCTTGAGTTTGCCTAGCGGCCAATGCCATCTTACCCTTGAAGCCTCGTGCAATGATCCAAACTGTATGGGAGAGAGAATAAAAGGCACTCTGTGCATGCTCAGAAACACTTATCCGTGGCACTGAAAAGAGATTTCAAGGCTGTGGAGGCACATGCGAAGCTGTGGGATCCTGTCTGCAGATGCTCAAAGCCAGAAGGAGCAAGCTTCGCAGCCTCATTGCTTCACCTCAACATCCACCAGCCTCTCTTTCTTGGGTTTCTTCTTCCTCTTATCCATTGTCCAGGAACCATCCTTGCCTCTGGTCTCCTTTTCCAGTCTGCCATTATGTCAGATATGCACCAGTTGCAGCCCATCTCCCCAACACCCTACCAGCTCTCTCATGTACTCAGCGTTTCTGAGATCTTTGCAAACTGGACGGAGCTTCCCATTCCTTTTGCTTACCTGACGCTCTAAACAGGAAAGGGAGAAGGTTGTGTGAGGGGGGAGAGAACCCTCCTCCTCCCTCACCAAACGCGAGAGCTGGCGTCTTCTCCACACACGCCAGGAAAGCTGGACGGCGTTCAATGGTCCTCATTCAGGAGCTAGAGAGAAGAGGGGCTCTTTGCATCAAAGGGTGCTTTGTCAAAGGGGAAAACGCACAGCAAGGGCATCATGCGCAAACATGCGCACGGTGGATATTCTGCCCCCTTCCAAAGAGGCCTGGTTGTGAAGGCGGAAAAAGCACAGCCGCTCGGACGGCTGCTGATGAATAAGAAGCTTTTGGAAACACAAAGGATGGATGGAGCGTTTTCAAAACAACCAACATCTGTCTGGGAAACCCCAAGGCCTAAATGGAGTGGGGTGAAAACCAGTCTTGGCAGTTTCTGCCTTGATGTTGCTGTGTAGCTGCCTTATACAGGATCAGACCATTTGCCCTTCGCAGGGCCGGATTTAGGTTGGATGAGGCCCTAAGCTACTGAAGGTAATGGGGCCCTTTATATGTCCAGCTGTCCTTTGTCGACAACAAATTGTCACTTTTGTGTGTGTTGAATATATGCTCTATGGTAATTTATGGACGTCATAGGTATCTAAAGCCATTTGCACATGTTGCCAGGCAACCAGTCCATGCAAAATGTAGGCACCCTATATATAGTAAAGGTAAAGGGACCCCTGACCATTAGGTCCAGTCATGACCGACTCTGGGGTTGCGGCGCTCATCTCGCTTTATTGGCCGAGGGAGCCGGCGTATAGCTTCCGGGTCATGTGGCCAGCATGACTAAGCCGCTTCTGGCGAACCAGAGCAGCGCACGGAAACGCCGTTTACCTTCCTGCCAGAGCGGTACCTATTTATCTACTTGCACTTTGACGTGCTTTCAAACTGCTAGGTTGGCAGGAGCAGGGACCGAGCAACGGGAGCTCACCCCGTTGCGGGGATTCGAACCACCGACCTTCTGATCGGCAAGTCCTAGGCTCTGTGGTTTAACCCACAGCGCCACCCGCGTCCCAGCCCTGTATATAAATAAAGCGAGATGAGCTTCACAACCCCCAATAAAGCGAGATGAGCGCCACAACCCCAGAGTCGGTCACGACTGGACATAATGGTCAGGGGTCCCTTTATCTTTTAAGGGGAAAGTGGGTCATTCCAGGATCAAATCAGAAACCGGGACGGCTTCTCTAAATCAGGGACATCCCTGGAAAATAGGGGCACTCAGAGGGTCTGTTCAAGATGACCCTAACTACATGTAGACTAGCCCCAAAACACCCACTGCCCAGAAATGTATCCATCATCAATATTAAGACTGATCTGAAATGCCCACTTAGCAATGATGTGCTCTCAGGACAGGAAGAACTGCAACAGAGTCCACATAATGCTCCAACTATTCATTTACAATGAAGCTTCTGTGCCGAGTTTTCCGGAGGCCCTTCAACTTGGACTGGGGGTGGGATATCTTTGCAGCATACTCTGAATTTGCTCCTTCAGAACTCAGGCAATGCTTGCTGTGCAGCAACTAGAGGAGGAAAATCTGTGCTCCGTTCAGCAGAAAATGGATTTTACAAAATGAAAAATGATCGTGAAATGGCGAGGCGTTGCTGCAAAAAGGACCGCCTTTGTGTTTATTCTCATGCATTTATCCATTTCTGCTCCTAGCTTCAGAATCAAGGTGCAAGGTATATGAGATGTACAGTATGCGCCTTCATATTTGCCTTATTAAATCAAACTTTTCACACGGCTGCTCCACAGATTCGGAGGCAGGGCATGCTCCTCTGGTGATGTCACAGAGACTGGCCAATCAGCAGCTACCACAACCACACATATATCTGGGAGATCAAGCTTATAATCTGTTTCTTTCCCCAGGTAGAGCTTGAAGCGTGCTGAAGATCTGCAAAAACCCGTTTGCTCTGAGCAGACGACAGTTAGACAGAAAAGCTGTATTCCATATTGTGGGCTATGGAGACTCCTCCACTTTTCTGCAACTGAATGGAATGGGGACAAGGATAGGAACATGTTGCTTTTTCGTGGATTATGTGCTTTCATGTTATGGACCTTGGTTAGCCAGTGAACCAGAAAAGGAAAGAAAAAGCTGGCTTGCTTTTTTTCTGGATGCAGGCTAAAAAGAGAGCCAATACTTTCGGGAGATGGAGGAGGAGGAGAAGAAGAATCCTGGACATTCTGCTCCAATCAACTGCCATGGCATTAAATTTGTAGGTTGTTGTTCTTCAGATGACTCTTGATTCCTCCCAGAACTAAAGACTTAAAAGCACCAAATAGACTTTTTAAAAATATTGCTTTAATCACTGTTCAGAGTTCACTTGTTGTGGCATCACAGTGCGTCCGTTAACGATGAAAGGTTATGATTTAGTTTGATGGTAGTGCAAAGGTAAGTATTGTGTGTGTGTGTGTGTGTGTGTGAGAGAGAGAGAGAGAGAGAGAGAGAGAGAGAGAGAAAGGAAGGAAGGAAGGAAGGAAGGTTGGTTTTTCTTTTAACGAGAGTGTCATATTTAAAGTACAAAACTGTAAAATGTTTTTATTGAAGTGTTCTGTGAATTGTGAAAGCTGACATATACAGATCTCACCTCTTCCAATACAAAGGGGGTAATTTTGCCTGAGTTGTCATTTTAGGATTTTAAAACCGGGGGGTGGACCTGTACTCTTTGAAGACAAGGGGCTTCCATAATGTTCTATTTGACAGTTTCTGATGTCCAGCTGCGACATACTGTGTGGTCCAGGAGTATAGAACATTTGAATCTATAGGTTGGGGTGTCTGTGAGCATGTGGCAGTCAAAGGTGTTGAGGTTTTCTTTGTACAGAGCAGGAAGTAGGATTGGGTGAATATGTCCATTTTGGATTCTCTCTGTTTTTCATTTTTCTAGTCTTAAACTCAATTCTCCACCCTGCCACATGAGTTTTTATTCATTAAAAAAATAAGTCAGCGTGAAAATTAATCAGCATCTTAGTGCAAATTTCTCCATATACACATGTCAATGCAATTTTATGCACGTTTTTGCAAGCAATTTCCCCTAATGTAATGCAATTTGATATGTCAGTTTCCATAATCACACATTTCAGCGTATGTGCATTTTCTTTACTCATTACCTGTCTGGAGAACTGCAGAGATCCAGAGAACGGTGAATTCTGAAGGATGCTTCAGGTCACCTTATGTTCAGTGAAGTGTGATTTATGTATGTTTGCCTTTAAATGCGAACTGAACCAAATTTATCTCCATTCCTAGCTGGGGAGGCAGCATTCTCAGAATATGAGGTATTGAGGATTTCTCTGTGTGAAATGAGAGAGTAGGCTGTGCAAGGACACAGCATGTGCTAAGGGTGTGTGGGAGATTTATTATATGCATTAATAGGTCCATGCTGAAGTGTGTGCAGGTAAAAAAAAAGAAAAAGGTAAAGGCCCCTGGATGGTTACATCCAGTCAAATTCGACTATGGGATTGCAACGCTCATCTCGCTTTCAGGCCGAGGGAGCCGGCGTTTATCGTGTGTGTGTGTGTTTGTACACTCTGGCAGGATATAAACAAATATTTTGAAAATAAACGTTTGAGTTGTGTGTTGGAAATGAATGTTTCTCAGTGGTGGCTAGGCAGTGCCTTTGTTGGAAGTAGAGATAAGGTAGAAATTCAATTCGGCTTCCATTCAAAGCCCGATCTATCAAATCTGCACTTACCAAAACCACGTGAGAGCCAAAACAAAGCCATTTTTTTGAAGTTAGCACTTATCCAAGTTTTGCAATGTAGCTCCCCAACCTATCCATGGTTACAAAAATGCATATATCAGGGGAAAGTATGCATTAGAATGAATATATTCATGAAAACTCGATACAAAAGTGCATTATATTAGGAAAAATTGCTTGGAAACGTGCATATCAGTCAAACCTGCATACAAAAATGTGCTTATTAGGAGAAATTTGCACTAAATTGCTGAAGAATTTTTATGAGGATTTATTTTATTTTTTTACAAAGAAAATTGCCAATTGTTGCAGAAATATGGAGGACAGAATTGAAGACTGGAAGAATGAGAAGCTGGGAGAACCAAAATGGACAGACCTTTCCATCCATTGCTGGAAAGTATTTACGCCCATTGTACAAATGTGTGCGGGTGAAAATTAATGTGTGTGTGTGGTGCCATTTGGCACAGCATGTGTGTTGAAGTTGTGCATGAGGTTTTAGCATACCTTTAGTTTCCACTCTGATTTATGGGAGGTTTTCCAAGTTGAACCCATCAAAGCCGCATAACAGTTACGGAATGTGACGCTAACCAAGAAATCCAGCCTTTTGAAGGCTCTTAATTGGGGAGAAGGTAAATAAAAATAAAATAAAATAAAATAAATAAAAACAATACAAAGAAGCGTGTTCAACCTTTTATCACAACAAGGTGCAAAATGGTAATCAAAGGACTCTTTGATCGCAGTCACTCTATGGGTTCAAAGAGGTATTGTCGTGATGTTACCCACAGAACTCTGGGCACTGTAGTTCTGTGACCAAGGTTATGTACCCACAATGCCTGGCACCAGCAGCTCTGAACTACCCACCCACCACTTGGATATGTAGCAAAAACACAAAAACAGCATTGCCCCGGGAGTCAAAATGCTTAACCCTACAAACATATGCACAGAGTTACCGAATTCCCACCATTACCCCAATTCCCACCATTATCAAAGTGGAAACAAGCAGGAAAGCAAAATCCACTCTCCCGAGTTTCAAGAGAAGTTGCCTCAATATTGAGAGAAGTCTTTGGTGGGGACATTCTCCACAGCCTGGCCAGATTTGACCTGTTGGAGGGAAAGAGGAGGGGGGAGTTTAATACCACATGCTTTTCTTTGGCTTCCATTACTGAGTAGGGGGAACGGAGACTACAAGAGGGGTCATTCATCCACCAGAAGGTTTCTGTGTCTTTGTACAGTGGTACCTCGGGTTACATATGCTTCAGGTTACATACGCTTCAGGTTACAGACTCCGCTAACCCAGAAATAGTGCTTCAGGTTAAGAACTTTGCTTCAGGATGAGAACAGAAATCGTGCTCCGGCAGCGCGGCAGCAGCAGGAGGCCCCATTAGCTAAAGTGGTGCTTCAGGTTAAGAACAGTTTCAGGTTAAGTACGGACCTCCGGAAGGAATTAAGTACTTAACCTGAGGTACCACTGTACTTGCAAAAAAGAAAGAAGGAAAAAGGTTCCCCACCCCTGCAAAAAGGACAGGGTTAAATCCTGCCTTGACTGAGCACTAGCGTTATAACTTTTTGACTTAAAAAAAAAAAAATCACACCTCTTTCCTGTATCATAAAGGGATGAACTTTTGCTTAGAAACACTGAAAAAGGGACTAATTCTTCTCAGTTGCGAAAAAAAGGTCACCCCGAAATGAAAATGTAATGGGTTTAGGGGTTGCTCGTGCGTAAGTTGCCGCCACTCCTGGCTAGGTTACCTGGTTAACCCTTTCTGACTGAACAGCCTCCAGCATCGTGACTGTCTCAGTCGCTGGCAGAATCCGTCAGTGGGCGTTTCTTAAACTTCTTCCAGCACAAAAGTTCCTTGACGCCAAGTCTCCTCCTACTCTCCCTGCGCGGAAGTCTTCTGCGCAGGGAGGGTGTGGGCAGTGGAGTACCCGTACTCTCTCCGCTGGTCTCCGGCGAGGAGTCTTGGAGCCTCCTCCCTGATTCCCCCATCTGCCCCCCTTCTCTACTGGTGTTACGCTGATTTCCTTCCCCAGCAGATGGGCTCCCTCTCTCCCCACTGGGACCCTCTCCACCATCCCTTTGGAGCCTTCCCTCCGCTTCCAGCTCCGATGGCAGTTCCCTGACAGAAAAGTTGGTATCACCATATATGTAACATTGCTACTCATAAGTATTAGCAATTTTTAAAACTTTATGGGACTGTTTAGAACTTTTACAGCTGTCTGGAATTTCCTAAAACTGTATTGGAGAATCACTGGAAGCAGGAGCCATCTGTACTCCAGATACCAAGAAGTAATCAGTGCGCAGAATGCGCAATCAAAAGCGATGCGGGAATTTTATGGTGCTCGAGGCAGAAACAAAGACAAACTGCAACCTCGATTTATTCTAAGCAGTAAGAAATGATGTACAATGTACAAGGCATTATAAACTTTGCAATGATGTACAATGTACAAAGCACAAGTATTATAAACTTTGCAATCTCTGTTTTCCCTGTATACATGCTGTGCGCATTACAGAATACACTACACTTGTAGCTTGGTTGTCAAACTTAATCCATTTCGGGAGTCCGTTCGATTCCCAGAACCGTTTGAAAACCAAGGCGCAGTTCTGATTGGCTGCAGGAGCTTCCTGCAGTCAATCGGAAGCCGCGTCGGACATTCGGCTCCCAAGAAACGTTCACAAACCGAAACACACACTTCTGGGTTTGCGGCATCCGGGAGCCGATTTGTTTGGGAGCCAAGCCATTCTACAACCAAGGTACCACTGTATATAGCTACATGTGCAAAAATCAATTTATTGATTTTGCAGTGAAATCTTTTTTCCAAACGATTTGGAAATGACAGTTCATTCCATTGTTTTTAGACCAAAGTTCGTCTATCTAAGCTACAGGAACATGAGGTTGTAAAAAAATACATGTTATAACCCTACTGAACATGCCTGTTCCCAGGCATTCAAGGCCCCATTCACCTCTATGGCTCTGCAGTGGCTGTGGAGGAACTCACCTGACAAACGTTCACTGCTGAGCCAGGATGAGAGGCACCTGGGCAGTGTCAAAGCGGGCGCTTCTCATGGGATTGGTCCTCTCGCCCGTGCGGACGTTGAACATGGGCATGGTGGAGAGGGGCCTGGGAACATCTCGGGTGCTGGCCATCTCCCTCAGCTCCTCAGTGTTGTCGTGGATTGTGTGGTGATGCACCATTTGGATGCTGAGGAAGAAAAGAAATGGTATTATCCTAACAGGGTTGATGTGGGAATAAAATGGGGAGGGAGGGAACCATGTACAATGGTACCTTGGTTCTCAAACATAATCCATTCCGGAAGTCCGTTCCAAAACCAAAGCATTCCAAAACCAAGGCGCACTTTCCCGTAGAAAATAATGCAAAATGGATTACCGTATTTTTCGCCCCATAGGACGCACTTTTCCCCCTCCAAAAATGAAGGGGAAATGTGTGTGCGTCCTATGGGGCGAATGCAGGCTTCCGCTGAAGCCTGGAGAGCGAGAGGCATCGGGGCGCACCGACCCCTCTCGCTCTCCAGGCTTCAGGAAGCTATCCGCAAGCCTTGCAAGCCCTGCGGGAGTTTCCGCGGGCTCACAAGGCTTGCGGGCAGCAGCCTGCCGCCCAAAGCACGGGGAGCCCTCTGGAGGGCTCCCCGTGCTTCAGGCGAGTGTCCGCAAGCCTTGCACGCCCGGCGGGACCTCCCGCCGGGCGCACGAGGCTTGGGGCGGTAGCCTGCAGCCCGAAGCACGGGGAGCCCTCTGGAGGGCGCCCCGTGCTTCAGGCAGGTGTACGCAAGGCTTGGGGCGGCAGCCGCGGCTGGGGGGGGAAATAATTTTTTTTATTCATTCCCCCCCCCCCCAAAAAATGAGGTGCGTCCTATGGGCCGGTGCGCCCTATAGGATGAAAAATACGGTAATCTGTTCCAGACAATTAAAAACAACTCGTAAAACAGCAGTTTAACCTGAATTTTACTATCTTGCGAAACCATTGATCCATAAAATGAAAGCGATAAACAATGTACTGCAGTCACACAATCAATCAATCAATCAGTAACTGATCTGGGTTCCACACAGTCACAAAAACAAAACAAAAAAGAGCTGCAAAAACAAGAAAAATGCAAAATAAATAGCAGAAACAGACAGACCTCAGCATAACACTTAAAACGGAAGTGTGGCCATCAATTCGGAAGCGTAACACTCAAAACGGAGAATGTTCAGCTTCCGAAAAAAGTTCGCAAACCGGAACACTTACTTCCAGGTTTGCAGTGTTTGGGTTCCAAGTTGCTTGAGTACCAAGGCGTTTGAGAACCAAGATACCACTGTACATGACTGAGAAGGAGAAGTGAGATATAAACAGGGCCAGCCCACCCATGAGGCAAGGTGAGGTGACCGCCTCAGGTGGCAGGATCCATAGGGTCAGCAGATCCCAATGTAGATATTTAGTCCCCTCTTGTTCCTGATGTAGATCTTCCCTCATCCCTTCTTCCCTGGCAGGGAGGGAGGTGCCATTTTGAGGTCCTCCTCAGTCGCCAAAATGTCTTGGGTGGCTATAAATGTGGCTATAAATGTGGTAATAGTAATAATGATTACGGGGCACAAGGACCAGTTGACCTGGCTTTACGATGATGCATGAAATGTATCCCACTTTAACTAGCAGCACCCCTCCAACAGCCAAGGTGGGAGTCTTATTGTGGCCCTGCTTACCTGGAGATTAAACCTGGGCCCTTTTCTATGCTACATATTCTCTCCATCACTCAGCTGACATGTGGACACTGAGGTCCACCTCCCAGGGCCTTCTGGAGGTTCCCTCACTGTGAGAAGTGAGATTATAGGGAACCAGGCAGAGGGCAGTAGTGGTGCCCGCCCTGTGGAATGCCCTCCCATCAGATGTACAAGGAGATAAGTAACTATACAACTTTTAGAAGGCATCTGAAGGCAGGCCGGTATTGGGAAGTTGTTAATGTTTGATGTTTTATTGTGTTTTTATAGATGCTGGAAGCTTCTCAGAGTGGCTGGGGCAACCCCAGTCAGATGGATGGGATACAAATATTATTATTATTATTATTATTATTATTATTATTATTACTACTACTACTCTCATTTGTTGAGTTAACAAATAGTTCAATGTGTGTGTTTTTTAAAAGAAAATGGCAAACCATTAAGTGGAAGAGGCAGGCGTGTGATGCAATACCTCAGGCAGTATCCTCGTGGCATCATAGAGCACTAAGCTGACATCACAGAGCATCCAGCTTTGTTCCCATGGCAACTAGCTGGACCTAAATACTCAAATTGTGCCTGAGAGATGGACAGGATTGATTTGCCTTGCAGCTGAGCACCATCAACTTGAAATCCTCTACCCACCAAGGCAAGCAAACTCAAAAGTACTGTTGAGAGAGGTTGAAAAGAGATAACTGTTTATTCAGGAAACCCCAAGTATCGCAGCAAGGATTGGGTGAGCGTGCGGGCGAATCAAGTTGTGAATGTGACAAGATATTCGGAGCCACAAAATCTCCAAACCTGTTTACGTTAAAAGACAGACGTGGTAGACACGTGTGGACAATACAGACCAAGAGAGAAAGACAAAAGCAACACCCCCATTGACTTTCTTTAAATCTGAGAAGGGAGTGAGACACATTTCCCTCCCAGATAGAAACGAACCGACAGAACTATCCACCCAGAAACAACAAGAAGAAGGGGGTCAAACAGAAGGCACTTTCTGAGCAATATGATGGAGTCAAAAGAATTTGCGGACGTTCCTTCGGCTGATGCATCTGAAACTGGCTCAACCAACGGAGACTCAGCTCCAGAAGACACTGAAGAATCTGATGTTTCTCCAAACATGCAATCCTCGGGTTCCTCTGAGGACCCTTCTTCCCTGGATCCTTCCTTGCAGAGAGGCAGAAGAACTCCTGGGGCAAGGACTGCTTCTGACCGCAATCCAACGAGAGCAGCTGTGCCCAAGCCACCGACCACCCACCTTTCCTTGCTGATATTTACAGCCGTGGCCACCTGCCGGAGAAAGACTGGGCTTTCCCTGCAATCTCTCCAGAAGACCGTGACCGACATGGGCTATGACATGGAGGAGAAGAAGCACTACTTCATGAGGTCCATCAACAACATGGTGTCCAAAGGGCAACTCTGGCAAGTGAAAGGGAAGGGAGCCACAGGCTTCTTCAAGGTCAACCCCAACATCGTCAAGAAGTACCAGCCCAAGATGAGAGGCCGGAAGGCCAAGGAAGCCGCCAAGAAGAAAGGCAGCCAAGCCACGTCCAGGAGTGGCAGGAACAAGAAGCAAGGGAAGGCAGAGTCCGGCCGAGGCGCAAAGAGAAGCAGGGCTCTCTCTCTCCCAGCTGCCCAGAATCAGGTCAAAGTGTGAAGGGTGCTTGCTGTGTCCTCCAGAGTGACTTCCGCATCCTTATGACGAATAAAGCAAGCCCTGTATTTAAAATTCACCGGTGTCTGTAATTTTTCCCATTCTTCAAAAAATCAAAATCACATATAAGTGGGGAAGGGGGAGGACAAAACTGAAAAACGGTGTGGGGGTGGGTGAATTGTCTTTTTCCAGTCTGTAGGTCCCATCATCATCATTTAAATTTGTATACCGCCCTATACCCGCAGGTCTCAGGATGGTTCGCGAGATATAATCCAAACACAGAAATGCCAAACGCACAATCAAAAGAAAAACAAAAAACCCAGTAACACTGCCAACACATTTTAAAAGGGCATCGGATGTTCATTGGCCAAAGGCCTCGTTAAAAAGGAATGTTTTTGTCTGGCTCTCAAAGGCTTATAATGAAGGCGCCAGGTGAACCTCACCGGGGAGAGCATTCCACAGATGGGAGCCACTACCAAAAAGGCCCGTTCTCATGTTATAGTAGTAATAATAATATATTATTTATACCCCGCCCATCTGGCTGGGTTTCCCCAGCCACTCTGGGCAGCTTCCAACAAAATATTAAAATACAATAGTCTATTAAACATTAAAAGCTTCCCTAAACAGGGCTGCCTTCAGATGTCTTCTAAAAGTCTGGTAGTTGTTCTTCACTTTGACATCTGGTGGGAGGGCGTTCCACAGGGTGGGCACCACTACAGAGAAGGCCCTCTGCCTGGTTCCCTGTAACTTGGCTTCTCTCAGCGAGGGAACCGCCAGAAGGCCCCCGGCACTGGACCTCAGTGTTGTTACGCTCTGGAGCTGTCGTGGACGAGGCCTCCTTTTTCACCCACAATTTACTCACCATGTGGCTGTCGTTGTTTTTCCTTGGTGGATGTTTTTTAATTGTACTTATTCTTTACTGTGAAATCACTTCAAGGAAGGCTTTCATGAATGAGAAGGGGGGAAATGCTATTCAATCCCCTTTCTGCATTAAACTGCAGTTTTGGTGGCGGGTGTGCGGGTGTTAATCTCAAAATGTGTATTTAAGATGTACTTTAATAGATTATCTACAGGCATCGTTTACCTCAGAATGCATAATTTAAATGTGCTTTGCTCTTGAAAGGAGTTGGGTACATTGGCAACATTTTTAATTGCCAGTAACTGCACTGCATTGAGATCTGGCGGTTAGCAAAGTACTTATCTGCGCATCAGTCCAAAAGGTGTAGGAAATTTCATGTAGGAATTTGCAGAGTTTGGATTCCTCGAGCATCCCTAAGGGCAGAATCACCTACCACATCAGAGGAGCTAGGAGCTACCAGTGTACAGTTGTACCTCAGAAGTCAAACACCTTGCGACGTGAACGTTTCGGCTCCCGAACGCCACAAACCCAGAAGTGAGTGTTCCGGTCTGCGAACATTATTTGGAACCCGAATGTCCGACACGGCTTCCGATTGGCTGCAGGAGCTTCTTGCAGCCAATCGGAAGCTGCGCCTTGGTTCCCGAATGCTTTGGAAGTTGAACGGACTTCCAGAACGGATTCCCATGAGCCTCCACAGTGGCCGGAGGGGACGGGAAAACATTCTAAAATGGCGCTGTGCATCTGGGCGAGAGAGAGAGATGAGGGACCACGTCAGGCCACAACCGCCAGTCACGGGAAAGACGGTGAGCAGCCATTATATTAGGACTTGCAGCTTTGAGGGAAAAGTGTGGCTACGGGAGGAAACAATGGACATACGTTCGCAAAAGCGGTGGATAACCTGATTTTTTTTAAAAAAAATGTATTAAATTAATTTAGTTTGATTTGTTGGTAATTTGGAAAACTAATAAAAATAATTTTTTAAAACGTTTATATTAGACAAAAATGCATATAAATGCTTATTTTGAAAGAAATCTGCACCAATGTGCTGATGATTTTCCACGAGGATTTTATTTTTTTAAAGCAAACAGATGTGGAAATGTGGAGAACTGGATTTATGACTGAAGCAGCAAGAAACTGAAAGTGACAGATTTGCTGATCCATCCCCAGCGGTGGGTGAACAGGCAATGTTCACTTCTGTCCCAAGACATCATGCCATGTGAACATACGTCTTGTCACACTATATGAGATTGCAGGAACTGGGCCACTTTCTACCCTCAAATTTTTTTCTGCTGGGTTAGGAAGTCCCGGCCACCAGTAGAGACAGTCTGCCACTCTGCTCCCCTGCCTTAGGGATACACACACACACACGTGAATTCCCACTTTCCACCAAAGCTTGGTGGGCTGCCTTGAAATACTGGCTTAAGATCACAGTATTTGGCCTGGGGAAGGGATTACTTGTACATCTAACCAACAAAGAGTTTATCAGTCCATGGCTGAAAACTATGGCCAGAAAAGCCACCTCGATTGGACTGTCACCATCCCTTCTGTATCAACTGGGCTGTGATACCGCCCTTGTATCCCTGAGGCAAAGGCTTTGGGACATCTCACATAGCGACCAGCAATCCAGATCCAATGTAATCCAATGTGGCCCGATTGCAGCTGGAATCCAATACGGGCACGACTTCCAGTTAGCCTCTTATCTTAGGAATTTGTCCGTACCCACCTATCGGCGTTTATTTACCAAAGCTGGATTAACTGTATTTCCATCAGAAGTTCTAAACGGTAGACTGAGAGGCATCCCCTATCAGAATGAGCAAGCAAGGGATCAGCTGATCAAACCCTTACTAGCAAATTTGCCGGGAAAATCTGAAGCCTCCCATATTAAAAGCCTTCTGGAGGATAGGTCAAACGATATTACACTGACCATGGCAAAGTTTCTTTTGGAGGTCACAAGAAACAGAGACCATCATGCTCTAGACATAGCAAAATGACTACCTCGGTCTCTTTTGCCTGTTGTTTGGTTGTCTCAACTGTATCTTGTTTTGAAACTGTTTTGTGGGTCTATGGACCACAATAAACATAGATAGATAGATAGATAGATAGATAGATAGATAGATAGATAGATATAGATAGATAGACAAACACATTTTGTGTATCAGACCTCCGGTTGCATCAGACCTCCATCTCAAAAGACTGAGAAGAAGCTGTCCTTTCTCATGTCTTTGGATCAGATGTTAACCATCTCAAATAAGAGGCACAAAAACAGAGGCACTTCAAATACGACACTTTATTCTTTTTCCTCCTTACACACAGCGTCAGCTATGGGAACCTGTCATCAGCATAGGACTCTGCAAGTCAGTCGGCTTAGATGTCATCCTCTTGGTCTTCTTCTTCCTCCTCTTTCTGCTCTTCCTCTTTTTCTTCTTGGGTACTTGCTTCGGCTTGAGATCTGGCAAGGCCTTCCCCTTCCCTTTCCCCTTCCCCTTCCCCCTTCTCCTCCTCTTCTGGCTCCTCCTCCTCAGCAACCTCATCATCATCCGGCTGATGGCGTAGCAGCCCGTGAGCCCTCGGCCAGTCAGCTTCCGCAGAACACCTTTGGCCACCAAGGCCCTCAAGACCCTCTTGAAGTAGCTCTTCTTCTTCTCAAGGTCGTATCCGGTGGCCGCCACACTCTTCTTGAGGGCTTGCAGGGAGACGCCATGACGTTTCTCTCCTGAGGCCACCACCTGGAAAATGAGCTTGGAGACACCGCGCTTCGGAAAGAGGAATTTCCAGGGGAAGGAAGGTTTGTGGAGCTCTCTGCCTTTCGTTTTGGACTTGGAGGTAGCCTTCAGGTGTTCGCCAGAACATGACGGCTGAGGCTCCCTTAAGGCCTGGTCTTCTTGATGTGCCGGGGGGTCAAAGATGTCTGCCGATATCTTCTCCTCTGAGCACTCCTCATTATTAACCAAGAAATCAATCTGCGTTTCGCCTAAGGCACTCATCTTCTCCTTAAGCCTGGCTTGTGTTGGTACATCCCTACGCTACCTGCCTCGCAGCTGAGGAAGATGTTGGGTGGTGATATCCTGTGCAAGGCAGATATGACAAAGCCATCCTGCTTTGCCAGAGGTTATGAGGTTACAGGGGAGGGACTTGGACTAAATGGTTGCCATGGAAACAGCTCGGTGCATTGTGGGATCACAAGCCCCCTGTGATGCTGCTCCCGTGTGATGATGTCATCAACAAAGGCACATTTCTATTCATACATGGTAAGCTCCAAGACATGTCCAATGGCCCCAAGACATCCCTATCCTGTTCCAGACCAGGATATTTATTTTATTCAGACACCAGTGATGTCCCCCATTGTGACCAAGGGCAGTAGGCCCATTTAGGCTGTGCAAGACAGGTGTCAGGCTCCGGGCACTCAACTTCCTCCCTCCCCCCCTTTCACTGCAGGACAAAACGAAAAGAGTCCCTGACCATTTAAAGCAAGCATAGGCAAACTCGGCCCTCCAGATGTTTTGGGACTACAACTCCCATCATCACTGACCACTGGTCCTGTTAGCTAGGGGTGATGGGAGTTATAGTTCCAAAGCATCTGGAGGGCCGAGTTTGCCTATGCCTGATTTAAAGAGTCTTTAATGATCACAGCAAAGGAACAAAGCATCCATTCTTGGAATTGAAGGTGTTCCCAATTCCCAGCTGGTGGGAAGTTTGGGAGATGGAGAAAATCTGATTCCCATTCTTTTGAGGGGAAATATCAATTTGAAAGAACTAATTTTACCAAGATTGCTATCATAGTAGTTGGGAGCTTGAGCTGACTCTGACCTACAAAAAGACTTAAAATCCATTTTCTCTCTTTGAATTTTATAAGAGACATAAAGACCAGGAAGAGTGATATACTTTACTCTGGAACTTTAAAGTCCCCTCAGAAATTTGCTCCTGGGGCCACGGGCCCCCTGTACCCCATGCTACACCACTGCATGGAACACACAGCTCCATCACCCCCAACACCACTCCCCACTCATAGCCCATTCACTGAGTATCCACTCTAACTAGTTTGCAAGGACGTCAGGTGACTTCCACTATTTACCGAACATCCGTTCACCATCACTTTCCTAACCGCATAAAGTCAAAGCTTTGGGGGAAGTGGGTTTGTCGCAAAAAAGATCCAGATAAATGCTAAAATTTGCCAGCCTGTGGTTGACTCTCACCCAGAAATATCAACTGTCTGGAAGTGACCTCAGCCTGTCTAATGGTGGGGCTGGCCCTGTAGTCATGGCACGTAAGGCAGGAATTTCAAAATGATTGCAAGGGTTTGGTCAACAGAAGAAGAAGAAATTCATACTTTCAATACCCGTGACTATATAACGCTGACGTGTGGGTTTTGTTTTATCCACATTTTCAAATAAGGTGTGTACTTTGGATCGCCTCACTTTTAAAAGACGACAATAGAAAATACAAAAAAGGGTGTGGCTGAAAGGGGAAAAGCAATTCTGAAATACAGACACTGGGTGTGGAGTATGTGGAAGTAATGATTTCACATTTTCACAAACCACTCACATGCAAATGGAGGCACAACTACTTACTCTGAGGTCTTCTGGTCCCTTTTCTGCCTACAATTTTAAAAAGGGAGAAAACTGGGGTTAGGTCCAATTTGGCAACAGAAAACCTTGAATTTAGTATACTCAGGGCTGTACGAAGATAACAACCATCCTGTATACTCTAGCTGAACATTTTCTGGACCTGTCCTTGGTAAATCACTGTCAGATTTTAACCCATTTTTGCCTTTTGGGAGACTGTGACCATGAAGAAGAAGTACTGACCAGAGAAGAGTGGCAGACCAAGCTGATGGAATATGCAGAGGTGGCAAGACTGGTGGGAAAGATCAGAAATCAGAAAGACCGAGTATTTTCAAAAGACTGGAATGACTTTCTGACATATTTGAGAGATCACTGAAAACAGTTCAAATCATTGGCAGGAATACAGTGACACCCGTAATGTAACATTGGGTACTATGATTATATAACAGATAGAATACAGTAAAGTATGCAGGAATAAAATTTAGAATTGGAACCCATGGAGGAAGGAAGGAGGTCTCAAGGTTCAAAAGAATCCTTTTCTTTTTAATGTGTGAAAATGTTGTGTTTATGGTGTATAACTTTTTTGTAATGTACTACAGTAGCACCTCGGGTTACGTCACCCTTGGTAACGTAAACTTCAGGTTGCAAAAGCAGCAAACCCAGAAGTTTTTCGCTGCGCACGCATGCGCAGAAGTGGTCTACCGCCGCGCGCATGCGTATAACAGTGATCCTCAGGTTGCAAAAATCTCGGGATCTGGCCAGACCTCCGGAATGGATCCCTTTCACAACTGGAGCCACCACTGTACAGTATTATGAAATGCCCATGGGAGGCTGTGGCCTCCCTCAGACTCAGACTTACACGCCTTCCCGTCGGCAGCACATGATGTAGGCCAGGAGGAGAGCGAGGAGGAGCGCCAGGAGGAAAGGGAGGAGGAAAGTGAGCAGGAAGTCGCTGAAGAACTCCCTGTCAGGGGCGTCATCTGGAGGATTGAATTCGCTGCCTTCCTCTAGCACTCCGTCTCCATAGATGGTCACTGCTTCCGTGGTGTATATATTGGTGAGATCTATCTGAGGAGCAGAAAAAAGGGGGTTGGAAGGACAGAGGGGGAGTGAGCATCTCTGGGATGGCCTAGCGCATGCCACCACCCACTTTCTCCAGCGTCCTCTCTCACCAAGGTGAGGTTGCACCAGTCGATCTGGAACCGAGGGCTGAAGGTGTCATAACAAGTGAGGGCCGGCTGTTGCTGCAGCTTGCACCGGTTGCGGTTGGCAGGGGACATGACCTTGGTTAAGCACTCGTTGAATGGCTCCTTGGAGCCCACCTTGATGAACACCCTGCAAGAAGGAGAAGAAGGCCACCGAGACCATATAACACCGGTCCTGAAAGACCTACATTGGCTCCCAGTACTGGCTCCCAGTACATTTCCAAGCACAATTCCAAGTGTTGGTGCTGACCTTTAAAGCCCTAAATGGCCTGGGAGCTGGACCTCAGTGAATGATGGGGGGTGGAAATGCTCCTTCAGGTATACTGGGCTGAGGCCAAAGGAAAGCAGGGCAATATGTTTGGCACCAGCTGGGCTGCAGGAGTTGCTGGAAGGAGGCATAAAAGACACCATCCAACTGTCTTAGTGACGCCACTCTGGATTTGTGTAGGGTTTACTCCTAAGCCTTTTCTTCTCCTGAAATATCCCACAAGGCAGCGGAGGTTTAGGACCAGAGTTTTCCTTCTCCTAGATGGGCTACCTTCCCTGGTGGGTGAGTCCCATCTGCCCCTCACTTCCCTCTACAGGTCATGGAGAAACTGCCTTCTTGACCATTGAACCCACACTTGGTCTTGTCTGCTCAATCCACTGGAGCCTGTCTTCGCATGCAGAGGGAAGTCCTTATCTCACGTGGGATTTGAGACCCAGACTGACACCTTTGATGTTGGGCAATGCAGAAGAGGCTTTCAATGAGCAGCTTTCCGATCTGCAGTGCTAGCAAGCCAGAAAACGTGTACAGTTGAGCCTTGCTGTTCAACAGATAAATACTCCTTTTCCTGTTATTTGGCCTCCCAATTTACAGTTTCTGAGGGCGGTGGAACAACCAAGTGGGGCCCCTCTGTGATCTTCGCATCTGCCAGGTGTGGAGAGTCCGCCTCCCCTCCAGGAATTTCACAGATAATAATTAACAGGCAGTTTATATTTTAGTCCATGGGTGGCGCTGTGGTCCATACCACAGAGCCTAGGGCTTGCCGATCAGAAGGTCGGCGGTTCGAATCCCTGTGACGAGGTGAGATCCCGTTGCTCGGTCCCTGCTCCTGCGAACCTAGCAGTTCGAAAGCATATCAAAGTGCAAGTAGATAAATAGGTACCACTCCGGCGGGAAGGTAAGCAGCATTTCTGTGCACTGCTCTGGTTCGCCAGAAGCGGCTTAGTCATGCTGGCCACATGACCCGGAAGCTGTACGCCAGCTCCCTTGGCCAATAAAGCGAGATGAGCGTCGCAACCCCAGAGTCGTCTGCGACTGGACCTGATGGTCAGTGGTCCCTTTACCTTTACCTTATATTTTATAGTTCTTTTATACGTTTATATTTTTATAAGTTTATACAGTGGCACCTTGGGTTAAGAACTTAATCCATTTCGGAGGTCCGTTCTTAACCTGAAACTGTTCTTAACCCGAGATACCACTTTAGCTAATGGGGCCTCGCGCCGCCGCGCAATTTCTGTTTTCATCCTGAAGCAAAGTTCTTAACTCGAGGTACTATTTCTGGGTTAGCGGCGTCTGTAACCTGAAGCATCTGTCACCTGAGGTACCACTGTATTTTATAGTTCAGGCATCAGGATGCAAGCAAAAATCCACATCCCTCCCCAAGGAGAGCAGTTGGCTTCTCTAACTTTTGCCCCTTCCCCCTTCCGCAAGATAATAGGTGCCAACGGGAGGTCCCTCCTTCTCTCTGCAACCTTTGTTCTCTAATACATTTGGATCTCCAAGTTCATGGAGGGAGTGTCCCCCACTCTTTCTAATGACGTCTCTGCTATCTGTCCCCTCCCTTCTGTTCCCCTTGCCATTATCTCCCAGCTAGGTAACTCCTGCCTAAACCGCTCTGTGTCTGTCTTGGCTTCTGAGACAACTGTAGGCAACGGGGGGGAGGGTGAATCTTCCGCCTCCAGCTCCTTTTCTGAGAGAAGCTGCTCTGCTGGGAATGCATCCCCCATCCCTTTGCTTCAGACCATTCCCTGGCAGAATCTGAGGAGATTCTGTAGAAAAGGAGGCAGCCTTTCCAGTACAGTGGTACCTCGGGTTACATACGCTTCAGGTTACATATGCTTCAGGTTACACACTCCGCTAACCCAGAAATAGTGCTTCAGGTTAAGAACTTTGCTTCAGGATGAGAACAGAAATCGCGCAGCGGCGGCGTGGCGGCAGTGGGAGGCCCCATTAGCTAAAGTGGTGCTTCAGGTTAAGAACAGTTTCAGGTTAAGAATGGACCTCCGGAATGAATTAAGTACTTAATCCGAGGTACCACTGTATTGGGGACCATTTCTACAGCCTGCAAGAGACTCCCCTCCTCTTACCCTTCCTTCCGGTTTTCAATGGGCAAAGGTACACGGCCTCCCCGGTCCAACGCTGAGGTAATATTGACGACGGTCAGGCCATCTTGTTCCCACATGCTGTCCACAGCTTGCAGGAAAAGATCCTGGATATCTGCTGGCAGTACTTCATCCACATCCCAGTTCTTCACCAGGAAATCCGCCTGGTATGGCATTTCTCCATCTACAGAAAGAGTTTATAGTTAGGATTAGGGTTAGGGGATATATGCATTACTTCCCACCACAAAAAGTCCTGGTCCATCTGCCCAGCCCACCTCTGTCTGCCCTCATCCAGCTGCCCCATACAGGGATCGAACCTGCAACCTTGAGCGTTATCAGCACTGTGCTGCAGGACTGACCTGCTGGGAACCTGAAGGGCCCTGCCCTGCCTCTCTTCACCTGGCTTGGGGCGGGGCCTGACAGGCTCCATAAAGGACTGCTGCTGCTGCTGGGCAGAGAGGCCTCCATTTTTGTTTTTAATTGCTTTTATTTTTTTATCTATGTCATTTTGATGTGTGCCATTTGATGTAAGGAAGTGAGAGCTGGACCATAAAGAAGGCTGATCGCCGAAGAATTGATGCTTTTGAATTATGGTGCTGGAGGAGACTCTTAAGAGTCCCATGGACTGCAAGTAGATCAAACCTCTCCATTCTGAAGGAAATAACCCCTGAGTGCTCACTGGAAGGACAGATCCTGAAGCTGAGGCTCCAATACTTTGGCCATCTCATGAGAAGAGAAGACTCCCTGGAAAAGAACCTGATGTTGGGAAAGATAGAGGGCACAAGGAGAAGGGGACGACAGAGGACGAGATGGCTGGATAGTGTTCTCGAAGCCACCAGCATGAGTTTGACCAAACTGGGGGAGGCAGTGGAAGACAAGAGTGCCTGGCGTGCTCTGGTCCATGGGGTCACGAAAAGTCGGACACGACTAAGCGACTAAACAACAACACCATGTTATTTTAAATTGTGATTAATATTAATGCTGTATTTTTAGTCTTAGATTGTGTGATTTATGTGGAAATTGTTTTCCCTTTGGTTGTGTATTTTTTGATGTGTTTTATTTATTATGACTTTTGTTATGTTGATAATTATGTAATTTTGTCATGTTGTAAGCTGCCTTGAGCACTGTTTTAACTATGGAAAGGCGGCGTACAAATAAAATAATGATGAAGATGATGCTGCTGCTGCTGCTGCTGCTGCTGCTGCTGCTCTAACCAACAGAGCAGAATAGGCCCCACAACTCACCATTTGTTGGGGATAATTTGGACGGAAATTCCCAGGTGTCAAAAAAGGTTATTTATGTATGTCACAGCTGCAGCCCATATTTTGTTAGCCCCAAAATGGAAAACGAGTGAAGTCCCAACTAAAGAAGAATGGCAACTTAAACTGATGGAATATGCATGTCTTGCAGATCTAACTTATAGAATAGGAGAACAAGAAGAACATACATTTAAGGAAGATTGGAAAATGTGTATTGGAGTGGTACTGTCTACCATTCATGTAAAGAAACACCTCTTTCTCTCTGTTCTTCCCTGTTTGTTCCTTGACTCCCACAAACTGTCCCTTCTATTTAGGGTCTAAGCCCATGATCCCATGTATCAGCTGACTCCCAGCATCCAATCAAATCTCTTCCTCTGTGGATTGTGAGCCTAGACCGCTCAGTTGGTTAGAGCGAGGTGCTGATAAGGCCAAGGTTGCAGGTTCGAAACCTGTATGGGACATCTGCCATTGCAGGGGGTTGAAGTAGACGGTCCTCTTTCAACTCTACAATTCTAAGAAAGGGAAGGCAGGGCTCTCTCAAGCCACTTTCCCCATACTGCTCAAAAACTGATAAACCTCTATCATGCTCTTTTGCTGTCCTTTATACTAAGCTTAAAAGCTTCAATTTAGCCTTTGCTTGCAGGCAAAAGCGCTCCAGCTCTTTGATCATTTCCCCCTAGCGCTATTACATCCTTTTGAGACAGGGAGATGATATTCTATTTGAAGCCACACTGCAGCCGCCTGGCAGAAAGGCATTGCGATGCCTGCTGTTTCCTTTCCAGTTCCTTTCATAATCGCTCCAAAGCCTGACGCGTCATTTGACACATACTTGCAGAGTGATAATCCTGAGCCCGTTTGCTAGAGAGAGAAAGCGCTACGGAACATGGCGAGGCTTATTATTCCTGAGTAAACCAGCACAGGGGGGAGATTGGATAGCTCAGTCGGTAGAGAATGAGACTTTAAATCTTAGGGTTGCCGGTTCGAGCCCCACATTGGGCAAATGATTTCTGTATTGGACTAGATGACTCTCATGATGGTAACTTCCAACTGTACAGTTCTAGGATTATGCATTGGGGAAGGGACATAGATCAGTGGAAGAGCACTTTAAATGGATGTGCTTTAAATATATGATGTTGATCTGCCCCGATACATGTTTAAGGCAAAAGGTCTAGGGTGGAGGGGACCCCTCACATTTGCCTCATGAGGGTTTCACATTTGAGCTGTGGGCAGGTAAAAACACAGCTAGATTCTTGGACCAGTAAAAGGATTGGGAAATAATCCACAATGAATTGAAAAGAAAGTGTTTAGAAGTACTTTTCCAAAAAAACCTGAGTCCTTTTTGTTGGGGATAATTTAGATGGAAATTCCCAGGTGTCAAAAACATTTATGTATGCCACAGCTGCAGCCCGTATTTTGTTAGCCCCCAAATGGAAAATGAGCGAGATCCCAACTAAAGAAGAATGGCAACTTAAACTGATGGAATATGCACGTCTTGCAGATCTAACTTATAGAATAAGAGAACAAGAAGAACATACACTTAAGGAAGATTGGAAAATGTTTTTTGAATATATGGGGGGAATTGTGTACACTTGAAAATGTTGGCAGCAGTAAGATAAATTCAACCATGTAAATAAGTTTTGTCGGATGTAATAATGGAATACTGAATGGTTTAGTTTCTGTAAAATATGCAGGGATTTATGTTATGCAAAATGAACCATGGAAAGAGAAGAAGGGAAGTCATTGACATTTTAAGGTTGTTTAAATGAGTATTCTAAAGTGTAAAACAGAAATAAACACACACAGAGAGAGAGAGCTAGATTTGATTCCTCATCACTGGCCCAGGAGAGGGCCAAGCCATCACTGGCATCAATAAGCCCAAATAATGCATATATATACATTGGGCCTAAATGGATTTGGAAGTCTTCTCCAACTTTCCTGGCTCGGGTCGACATCTGCTCACCCACCTTCCCGCAAAAGCCCAACAAAGGCCTTTCATGGGAGTCCAGGCAATGAGGATCTGCACCCAGCCAATATCCAGTATCCCCACCAAAGTCAACTGTAAGGAAATACAGCTGAATTTGCCCCATATACTTCATGGAGGAGGGGGAATTACCTGAAGATGGGGCGACGGTGATGATCATGGTTTGCCTCGCAGTCTCATAAGTGTATCTGTTATATGCCTTCACCTGTCACAAATAAGAGAAAGAGATTTGGGGGTTAATTTAATTTTTCTTAAAACACATGCCCAAACACACCGGACCTTCCAAATGTCCCTATTTTCCAGGGAGATATACAGAAACCATCCCAGCTTCTAATCTGATCCCAGAATGTCCACTTTTCCTTAGGACACCCCTATTTTCACTGGAGAAATATTGGAGGGTATGGCCCACACACCGTTGTATCTCAGCCTTCAAAGGGAAAAAAAGCAGGTTTCCAATAAGGAGAACAGCAAATAAATAGTTTTTGGGCCGATGGCTACCACAAAGGCTGGAAGCAGAAGCAATCATATCCTGTGTCTGAGTGGAACTGGCTCTTCAAAGCTGGTACTGGAGATATCTGGTTACAGGTACGTAGGTAGCCATGTTGGTCTGTGTTATGTACTGAAGTTCTCACCCTGGGCCAGCAGGGGGATACTGTAGATAGTTTTCACTCAGGTCCGCATATGCAAATAAGGGATTGAAAGTGACGTTCAGTGATTGGATAGTTACAGAAAGTTGTTACTGTTGCTTTGTAGTTGAGCTCTATATAAGCAGGCTGGCTGAACCCTTCAGTTCAGTTCTGTTCTGGCCTGTGAATAAACAAGAGCTGTCTGAAGAATCTCTGTGTTGTCTGATATGTTCACCCACAACTTAACAGTCTGCCGTAGTCAAAACAAAATAAAAAAATTCCTTCCAGTAGCACCTTAAAGACCAATTAAGTTTGTAAGTGGTATGAGCTTTTGTGTGCATGCATGAAGGTATCTGAAGAAGTGTGCATGCACACGAAAGCTCATACCAATAACCAACTAAGTTGGTCTCTAAGGTGCTACTGGAAGGAATTTTTTAATTTTGGAGATATCTGGCTGCAGCTAGTAGCGATGGCTGGTGCCGGGATTCCCCCATCAGCTGGGAGGCATGGGGCATTCTTGGCATGACAGAGTGAGTCCAGCAGGTCCCGGTCAGCTTAGTCCACCGAGACCCAGGGCAAATGTACCCAGCTACCCCCTACTAGGGCAGAAGGCATGGACGCCATGACAAGCTGAGCCAGCAAATTCTTGCTTTGTCCCTTTTCTCTGCTGATTTCAACAAGACAAGGCTGAGACTAAGGAGGAGGAGGAGGAGGAGGAGGGGAAGGAGGGAGAGGGGGGGAGGACAGGCGGTGCCCAGTGCCAGATTTACGTATAAGCTAAACAAGCTATAGCTTAGGGCCCCACTCTCTTGGGAGCCCCCAAAAAATTAAAGGGAAAAAACCCTGGATGAACATTTCCAAAATATAAGATAAAAAACAAATGAAACAAAACCTACATGGAGCAACAGTGTTTTGTGTTGTGTAGGCTCCTATGATGTAAGTCATGGGCCCCACCTGCTAGCCTGCTCCCTAAAATATCACTGGTTTGCACATTTCTATATATAGGGTGCCTACATTCTGCATGGACTGGTTGCAGGGCAACATGTGCAAATGGCTTTAGGTACCTACGAGGTCCATAAATTACCAGATAACATATATTCAACAACAAAAACAGTGACCATTTATTGTTGACAAAGGATAGCTAGGCATATAAAGGGCCCCATTACCTTCAGTAACTTAGGGCCTCATCAAACCTAAAACCCTCCACTGGAGGGGCGGGGAGGGGAGGAACAGGGTTTAATTTGGTTTGAATTTCATTGCAGACCAACTTAATTAAGGGCTTGTCCACACTTACATTTGCCAGTGATTTCTAGTCATGGGTTTTAGCCATACCCCCCAATATTCCTCAGGTGAAAATAGGGACATGCTGTACATCAGTGCCCCACTGCTGGTGCTGTCCCACAGGGGCAGAGATGCAGTTGCAGGGCCCAATCCATGGCACCAGGTTGCCCCCAAAATTCAGGGGCATTGGCGTGTGGTGCATGTGTTTGACGTCAAGATTCTCCCCCCCCCAAATAAAAAAATCTTGGGAACTATAGCTTGTTAAGAGTGCTGGGGATTGTAGTTCTGTGATGGGCAAACTACCATTCCCATTGTGGTTTTTTTTGGGGGGGGAGCCATATGTTATAAATATGCTTTAGCTATAGGATGTGGGCATGACTTCAGGCTCAGCCTGGACCTGGGCTTCTGCCCAGGACGCTCTCAAGGTGAATCTTGAGCAAAATAGATGACCACCCCCCTGTCCGCCAGGGAATTATAGAACATGCACGCACCTCAATTGTTTGCTTGCCGAGTTCTTTGCTTGTGGGGGACCCGTAGAGATATCCCGTCTGGTAGGGGGTGCGTTGAATGTAGCGCAGCCAGCGGGGCAAGTCTGGGTAATCCAGAAGATTGGTGTGGAAAGTGACAGGGGCCTCAGGCGGCTCTGTAAGATTTCAGACCCAAATTGAGCTAATGTTGTGCTTCTTCTGCGCTCCCTGGGAGATGGAGATGCTATCCTGAAGCTTGTTCCTTGAAACACCTAGGCTACACTGTATAGGGTTGATCTCTATGGAGGCAGGACTAACAACAACAACACAGTGGTACCTTGGTTCTCGAACGTAATCCGTTCCGGAAGACCGTTCGACTTCCGAAACGTTCGAAAGCCAAGTTGCAAAGGGCTGGCTGCAAGTTCAATTGAGAAAACTGAAAATCACGCAGCAGAAGCCGTTCGACTTCCAAGGCACGTTTGAAAACGGAAGCGTTTACTTCCGGGCTTCCAGCGTTCGGAAACCGAACGTGTTAGATTGTAAGCACCCAGGGCAGGGACCTGTCCTTTTGTAGTCTTGGCATCAAAGAGCGCTTCACACAAGCTTGCTGCAGATCCCTCTTAGGATTCAGCTGAAATAATATACTACTGTGATTGACAAAGCAGAGCAGCTAGCTCCATGAATAATAATAATAATAATAATAATAATAATAATAATTACTTTGTTTGTTAATCACAGCAACATATATAGATCTAGGTACACAGACACATGCCGTTATGTAGACAAAACCGTATCTGTAGAAAGGCAGCTAGCTATTTAACTGTGCCTGGGATGGATTGAAAGGAAACCGCTCCTGGTCCCTTACCATTTTCGTCCATGGAGGAGGGAAAGGCATCCTTAAAGTCGTCTATTTCAAACTCGTGGACAAAGATCTCCCCAACCACGGCATAGAGATTGAGGACAGGGAGGCTGAAAGCCAGGCCCCGGCTGAAGAGGAGCCCTAAGACAGAGCAGAGACGACACGGGATTAGATCCAGAATCCGGATTCGTATGACACAAAAGACAAACTCTCAATGTTCTCCACTGCCTTTTGCTTTTCAGCAAACTGAGGGTTTTTGCACAGCCCAAGACGGAGCTTAAAATCGCTGGGAAGCCTGCACACTCAACCGAAAGAGTCGTCGAAGTCGGTACCATATTTTTCGCTCTATAAGACGCACCAGACCAGAAGACGCACCTAGTTTTTGGAGGAGGAAAGCAAGAAAAAAAATATTCTGAATCTCAGAAGCCAGAACAGCGAGAGGGATCTCTGCGCAGTGAAAGCAGCAATCCATCTTGCTGTTCTGGCTTCTGGGATAGCTGCACAGCATGCATTCACTCCATAAGACGCACACACATTTCCCCTTACTTTTTAGGAGGGGAAAAGTGAGTCTTATAGAGCAAAAAATATGGTAATTATCCGCTTTGGAACATGACTTGGCTGAGCTCGTAACGCCCAGAATACTTCTTCGCCGGGCAAATGGTTTCTCAGTCCTCTGTAAATTGACATTATTGCGCTGTGCTTGCTTTTCATTTCCATCAACTGCCTTTATACCATTATACTGTAGCGTTTTGCAAGTTGTTTTAATTTCCCCGTTATTTTAACTTTTCGTAAGCTGCCCTGGGGGCCTTTTGAGGGGCAAGACAGAAATCCCTAAAATAAAATAAAGCTGGGGGAAAGCTTTCAAACTGCACATGTGTCAAACCAAATTGGCCTTTGTTTGATTCATTCTTCACCTCATGTGCTTTGTTCTCTGACTCTGCCATTCGAATGATGGCTGTTTCCTTTTTCTTCTTCCTGGCCTTCATAGGGTCGGGACATCTAAATGTTGCTAAGGCAATAGATTTTTCTTACCCTTTGCTTCTTTTATACCCAAGACAACAGGTTTTTCCTTTTCTTTTACAGTATTGTCCCTGGAGAGAAATTGTCACTTCCTTGCAAGAGCAAAGCTCATTTGCAGTCTGATTTAATAACATTCATATCTTGCCACCACACCTCACACAATGCAGCAGGGTAGTTCAGGGTCTTGTCAAGCACAACAAGTTCTATATATCTTGGTTCATAGATAGATAGATAGATAGATAGATAGATAGATAGATAGAGATAGATAGATAGATAGATAGATAGATATGTTTTATAATTTAAAGTACCGTATTTTTCGTCCTATAGGATGCACTTTTTCCCCTCCAAAAATGAAGGGGAAATCTGTGTGCGTCCTATGGGGCGAATGCAGGCTTTCGCTGAAGCTTGGAGAGCGAGAGGGGTCGGTGCGCACTCTCCAGGTTTCAGGAAGCTATCAGCAAACCTGGGGAGCCCGCGGGAGTTCCCGCAGGGCTCCCTAGGCTGCGGATAGCAGCCTGCTGCACGGAGCGCGGGGTGCACTGAAGCAGAGCACCCCGTGCTGCAGGCAGAAATCCTCAGCCTGCTTCATGGAGGGTGGGGCGCACTGGAAGCAGAGCGCCCGGCGCTTCAGGAAGACATCCGCAGCCTGCTGCACGGAGCGCAGGGAGCGCTGAAGCAGAGCGCCCCACACTTCGGACAGATATCGGGCAGCCCCACAAGCTCGGGGGACAGCGGGGAAGCGGAGCGCCGCCATCCCGCTGTTCCCCGACCTGGTTTGGATTCCCCAACCTGGTTTTGGGGGGGAAATAAAGGGAAAAAATTTTCCCTTTATTTCCCCCCCAAAAAACTAGGTGCGTCCTATGGGACGAAAAATACGGTACTCATTTTTACAGCCTTAAGATATCAATGACGTTCCTTCTTCTCTTTCCATGGTTTATTTTGCATATCATAAATCCCTGCATATTTCACAAAAACTATACCTTAAAGTACAGTGGTACCTTGGGTTAAGAACTTGGAAACAGAACAAGAAATAGATCAATTTCTGCAAAAACACCATCTGGAACAAATTGTAGAAGATGAAAGAGCAGCACTAGATGAGATAATAACACAGGAAGAGATAAAAAGGCTATTAAAAAGATGAAAGCTGAGAAGGCGCTGGACCGGACGGCCTTCCGGCCAAATATTATAAAACATTAATTAACCAAATATCACCAGTGCTGGGAGAGGTTATGAACAATATATTGAGAGAAGGAAAGATACCTAATACCTGGAAGGAAGCCTATGTTATATTGATCCCTAAAAAAGAGGTGGACACTATGGAAGTAAAGAACTATAGGCCAATCTCATTATTAAATAATGATTATAAGCTATTTGCAGACATAATGGCGGAAAGATTAAAGAAGGTCTTGATTAATAAAATTCATGGTGATCAAACAGGATTTCTCCCAGGGAGACAATTACGGGATAATGTAAGGAATTTGATTGACATTATTGAATACCTGGACATGAAAATAGACAGAAAAGCCGCACTGGTTTTCATAGACGCCGAAAAGGCATTTGATAATGTTTCCTGGAACTTCCTAAAGAAGGCTTTGGAAAGGATGGGAATTGGCGAAAAATTTAGAAGAGGCATAGAAGCAATATACAAAGAACAGAAAGCAAAGCTGGTGATAAATAACAATACAACAGAATATTTTAACATTTATAAAGGGACCAGACAAGGTTGCCCCCCTGTCCCCCTTATTATTTATTGTAATTTTGGAAGTACTTAATAAGAGACTGAGGGAGGCAACAGAAGTGAAAGGAATTAGAGTAGGAAAGAAGGAATTCAAAATTAAAGCCTTTGCCGACGATATTGTTTTGACTTTGGAAGATCCACAAGATAGTGTAAAAGAAGCATTACAAAAAATTGAGGAATTTGGAGAGGTGGCAGGTTTTAAGGTAAACAAGAATAAAACTAAAATGCTGGTTAAAAATTTAACTAAGGAAGAAACGAAAGATCTAGAACAAAAAGTGGAAATCATGGTGGTGAAAAAAGTGAAATATTTGGGAGTGTGGATTACGGCAAAAACATAAACCTATATAAAGATAATTATGAAGTTACATGGAAAAAAATAAAGAAAGATCTGGAAATATGGGGAGGATGAAATTTTCCTTTTTAGGGAAGATAGCAGTGGTTAAAATGAATGTTTTGCCGAGGATGTTGTTTTTATTTCAAACTCTTCCAGTTATTAAAGGTCTAAAACAATGTAAAGAATGGCAGAGAACCCTGATGAAATTCATCTGGCAGGGGAAAAGACCAAGGATTAAAATGAAAATACTAATTGATAAAAAGGAAAGAGGAGGTTTTGCCCTCCCAGATTTGAGCCTATATTATGAAGCAGCGTGCCTACTTTGGTTAAAAGATTGGATAAAATTGGAGAACAGAGACCTACTGGATTTAGAAGGTTTCAATAACCGGTATGGGTGGCACGCATATCTCTGGTACGAGAAGGTGAAAGTCCACAGGGCTTTCTTAAACCATATTTTCAGGGGACCAATATATCAGGTCTGGGAAAGAAATAAGAACCTTCTCGAAAGAAAAACACCATGGTGGATTTCACCAGTAGAGGTCTTAACAAAAAAAACCAACATGGAAGGGAAGACAGCCACCTACGAAGATTTGCTAAGAAAATCAGAACAAGGGCATAAACTTAAACCGTATGAGGAAATAAAGGATCAATTCACCGGCTGGCTACAATATCATCAGGTGAATGATATGTTAAAACAAGATAAAAGAAAAATGGGCTTTGAGGACAAGAAATCAAAATTCAATATAGAAATAATAGAAGGCAAAAACAAAACATTGTCTAAATTATATGACATATTACTGGAATGGCATACAAAAGACGAGGAAGTCAAAGAGGCAATGATTAAATGGGCAATTGACTTCGGTTATAACATCGAGTTTGAAAAGTGGTTGAAATTGTGGAATAGAGACATTAAATTTACGGCCTGTACGAGTTTGAGAGAAAATGTTTGGAAAATGCTCTATAGATGGTATCTTACGCCGGCAAAATTGGCTAAAATCTATAGATCAGAAAATAAGACATGCTGGAAATGTGGTGAAGGGGAGGGAGACCTCTACCATATGTGGTGGCAATGCAGCAAGGTGAAGGTTTTTGGGAAGCAATTTATAATGAACTTAAAAAGTTTTTAAATACACTTTTCCCAAGAGACCTGAGGCCTTTTTGCTGGGAATAATGGGTAAGGAAATAAAAATGAAGATAAAAAATATTTCTCTATGCCACCACAGCCGCAAGAATTATGCTGGCACAAAACTGGAAAATAGAAACTATTCCTAACATAAGTGACTGGCAGGTCAAAATGATCAACTATGCCGAGCTAGATAGATTAACAGGCAGAATACGAGACCAAGACGACCAGAAATTTCAAAAAAATTGGAGTAAGTTTTGGAAATATATTGGAACGGATATATAGGAGGAGCTGGCGGTATTAGAAAAACTTTATCAGCTAATAACTATAAACTTTAATAAACTAATTACGCAACCCGGGACTTATTTGATACTTACCAAAAGGGTGAAGGGAAGTCAAAGGCTAAGGAGAGCCTAATGGTTATATTATTATTTTTTGTATGAACGCATGTTTTCTTTTTGTATAGTATGAGACTTAATTCATTCCAGAGGTCCCTTCTTAACCTGAAACGGTTCTTAACCTGAGGTACCACTTTAGCTAATGGGGGCCTCCTGCTGCCGCCGTGCTGCCGGAGCACGATTTCTGTTCTCATCCTGAAGCAAAATTCTTAACCCGAGGAACTATTTCTGGGTTAGCAGAGTCTGTAACCTGAAGTGTCTGTAACCCGAGGTACCACTGTATTCTGTTATTACATCCATCATAACTTATTTATACTGTTGAATTTATCTTAATGCTGCCAACATTTTCAGCTGTACACAGTTATTTCTCATATATTCAATAAACGTTTTCCAATCTCCCCTAAACATATGTTCTTCTTGCTTTCTTCTTCTATATGTCAACTCTGCGAGTTGTGCATATTCTGTCAAGTTGCCATTTGTCTTTGGTTGGGACCTCACTTGTTTTCCATTTTGGGGCTAACAAAACATGGGCCGCAGTAGTGGTATACATAAAGAACCATTTTTGACACCTGGGAATTTCAGTCTGAATTATCCCCAACAGAAAGGACTCTGGGGTTTTTTTTTGGGGGGGAAGCACTTTTGAATATTTTTTTCCAATTCATTATGTATCATTTCCCAATACTGTTTTACCCTTTTACAAGTCCACCACATATGAAAGAACTTTGCTTCAACCTCTTTGCATTTCCAGCACTTATCTGATTCAGTCTTATACAACTTAGCAAGCCTACTCGGAGTTAAATACCATCTGTAAATCATTTTCAAGTAGTTCTCCTTGGTTCCCCTTTCTTAAGCCCTTTTCTCAAGTATCTACCCCTGTGACACATGCTACACGATGGAAAGATCCCACATGTACCAGTAGATTCTGCTAAAGTTACCTACTTGGTTATGAGAAACACCACATGTGCAATTAACGTGTATTCTTTAGCAGGATTGTGAAAACCGCATTACTCCTCAGTTTTGTTTTGTTTCCATTCCTGGGTCCTTACTTAACGTTGGTGCGCCAGCTGCTGCTGCAAAGGGCATATTTGGAAATGCAACCGAAAGCATTTTAAAAGATTTTGCCACTGCCCCTGCTCTCCCTCACAAATATGGCAACAGCTGTCTCTGCGCCAAGCGGCAAACGAAAGGGGCTGCAGCCTGAGACTAAAATTAGAAGGCGTTGCAAAAGAGAGGAAGCAAGAAAAAGCAGGCAAACTTCCTGGTCCCCAAGAATTTTAGGCACACGGGTCCTGCTAAAAATTGTACCGAAAGACACACAGCAGGGTGAAAAACATACATGTAGCTACTTCTTTCTTGACTAGAGTGGAGCTCTTCTTCTTCAAAAAAAGTTTGGAATAGCCTTTGATACAGTGTCTGACTGACATCTCTTTCCGTGGCTACTCATCCTGTTCTAAAACAGGTCCTATGGCATTCCTATTCCGAATCCTATAAGTGGAGCCTAAAGATAAAGGCACACAAACACACAGATACCCTCTGCTGCACAGCAGATTCCTGCATGCTCCCATACAAAATCCAGAAACTTGCCTGCAAGGAAGCAGCTCGCAATCAGGCGCTGTCCTGCCATCTTTCAAGAGGAAAGTTTTGATCGACAGAGGCAGGTTGCGATCGCAGGCGGTGGGAGGGTGTGCGCGCCTTGTGTCAGACAGAGGGGGTTAGGAGAATGGGTGTCAGCAGAGTCCTGAGCATCAGGCCCTGTCACTGCCTCAAGGGGGCACTGCAAGACTGCCAAAACAGCAGGCGACGAGATGGTCCCATTGCTGAGCAAAACTGCAGGATACAGACTGCACCAGCCACCCCTGTAGAAGCCACTTGCATGGTTAATATCATGACGATGTAACACAGCAAGGTGGAACAAATAATACAGGCTGTGTGAAGCCTGGCAAACGGAGGGTTAATCCAGACAAGACAGGGGTGCACCTTGGCTAGAAGGAAAGGATGTAGCTCAGGAGTAGAGCATCTGCCTTCTGCAGCAAGTCCCAGGTTTGATTCTCAACATCTCCAGTTAGGGCTGGAAATATCGCCTACCTAAAACACCCGACAGGGACACGGGTGGCACTGTGGGTTAAACCACAGAGCCTAGGACTTGCCGATCAGAAGGTCGGCAGTTCGAATCCCTGCGATGGGGTGAGCTCCCGTTGCTCAGTCCCTGCTCCTGCCAACCTAGCAGTTTGAAAGCAGGTCAAAGTGCAAGTAGATAGATAGGTACCGCTCCAGCGGGAAGGTAAATGGCGTTTCCATGCACTGCTCTGGTTCGCCAGAGGCTGCTTAGTCGTGCTGGCCACATGACCCTGTACGCCGGCTCCCTCGGCCAGTAAAGTGAGATGAGCGCCGCAACCCCAGAGTTGGTTACGACTGGACCTAATGGTCAGGGGTCCCTTTACCTTTACCTTAAAACACCCGACAGCTGCTGCTGGCCCGTGTTGACAATACAGATGGACCAATTATCTGAATCATTAAGAGCACACAGCTCTTTATTGTGGGGAAAGGGCAGGTCTAATTGCTCATGCAACCTCGGCAGCTGCAAAATTATTAGGGGTGGCAAGGAATCACCATGCAATCAAGAGGCAAAAGGCAGGATGGAATCGCAAAAATAAAAGCACGCAATTTTTTGCAGTGTATTCTTATTTTGAATACTGGAAAGAAATGAAAACAAAAGACCCAGGGAGCACAATCGACATGTACATATATACAAGACAAAGCTCATCATATTAATCCACAATTTAACAAGCCAGGTGTATCAGCTAGAAATTCATCCCTAAACCTTCGTAATGCATCCCCCAAATATTCGTTCACGAAACTTCCTGTCAACGCTGAACCCAAAACAGCACACAACATTTGGAACATTTAAAGAGATTAGGGGTATCACCTGTAGCAAGAAATCTTAGGTGCTTCATCTATGTCCAACTAAATCCCTATACACTTGCATATGGCTAATACATGCTTTTAAAAAAGTATTCCTCTTTTATATCATAGATGCGGAACCTGTGGCCTTACTACAGTGACCAAAGTCCCTGATCACTGACCAACCTGGCAGGACAGATGAGAGTTGCAGTCTAACACCCAAAGGTGCATGTATAAAGCTACTAACTTGTACACTTTAATTCAGCAATAATTCCCATTAAACTCACTAGGACTTACTTACTTCTGAGCAGAAATGTATAGGGTTGCAACAGACACCATTGTAGGAGAAGCGTTTTTTTCACCGTGTGAGAATAAAGAGTACAGACCTCTTCTGAAATAATGGCTATCACTATGGATGAAGGAGAAATTGAATTCTGTCCTCATTTAATGCCAGATCGATCAAATTTGAACTTTATTAAACAATGTGGGAACCGAAACACAGCCACCCTTCAAAATTCACACCCATCCGAATTTTGCGATGCTGTTCTCCAACCAAACAAGGGTTACAAAAATCCATGCATGAGTGAAAATAATGTTAAAAATGCACTGTCTAAAGGAGAATTGCCTGCCAAACAGTGTACATTGCCCACCCAAAACTATTAAAAAATGTGTTTATTAGGAGAAATTTGCGCTAATGTAATACTTGGAAAAAGGGACGTGGGTGGCGCTGTGGATTAAACCACAGAGCCTAGGACTTGTTGATCAGAAGGCTGGCAGTTCGAATCTCCGTGACGAGGTGAGCTCCCGTGGCTCGGTCCCTGCTCCTGCCAACCTGGCAGTTTGAAAGTACGTCAAACTGCAAGTAGATAAATAGGCAGGAAGGTAAACGGCATTTCCGTGCGCTGCTCTGGTTCGCCAGAAGTGGCTTAGTCATGCTGGCCACATGACCCGAAAGCTCGGCCAATAAAGCGAGATGAGCGCCACAACCCCAGAATCGGTCACAACTGGACCTAATAGTCAGGGGTCCCTTTACCTTTACTTAATACTTGAAAATGAAATCCATCTTCCTGGCAAAGCTCAGACCCAATGAAAAGGCTAGCAAACCTTGAAGTGTCCAGGATTTTGGGCGGTACCACAGCTGTTTGAGAGAGCAGACCAGCAGATGGCAGATTGGGGAAGTTTACGGAAAACAAATTTGAAATTCATGGCATGTTGTGCGCTGAAAGAAAATCATATGGAAATGAAGTGCCAGTGGTATTTGACTCCTAGTCAGTTAGCAAAAATGTATAGAACAAGTACAAATACCTGCTGGAAATGTAGAGAAAAAGAAGGTAACTTCTATCATATGTGGTGGTTGAGTAAGGTAATAAAAGCTTTCTGGGAGATGATATATAATGAAATGGGGAAAAAAGGTTTAAAATAGTCTTTGTTAAAAATCCAGAAGCTTTCTTATTAGGATTTATACATACCGACATCCAAAAGGAGCAGAAGATACTTTTTTATGTATGGGACAACAGCCTCACGGTTGCTACTAGCCCAGAGATGGAAAGAAGATAAAGTCCTAACCAGAGAGGAATGGCAAACCAAGCTGATGGACTACACTGAAATGGCAAAAGTGACCGGGAAGTTCAGGAACCAATCAGACAAAAACTTTTTTAAAAGAATGGAATTTTTAAAAACTTATCTAAGAGACCACTGTAAGCAGATGAAAATATTAGCAGGATTTGAACCCCACTTGTAAAGTAACAAATACTATGGACAATATGGGTTGACATAAAATATAGAATGTGGAATAATATGCAGTTGTAAAGGTTGACAATAGGACCCGTGGAGGAGATGGCGGGAAGTCTCGAGATTCAGAGTAATCTCTGTATACAGTGGTACCTCAGATTACAGATGCTTCAGGTTACAAACAGTTCAGGTTACAGACGCTTCAGGTTACGGACTCTGCTAACCCAGAAATAGTACCTCAGGTTAAGAACTTTGCTTCAGGATGAGAACAGAAATCACACGCCGGCAGTGGGAGGCCCCATTAGCTAAAGTGGTACCTCAGGTTAAGAACAGTTTCAGGTTAAGAATGGACCTCCGGAACGAATTAAGTTCTTAACCTGAGGTACCACTGTATATGGATATGCATTTGGAATGTTATAACTTCATATTTGTAAAAGAGAGAGAGAGAGAGAGAGCAGGCCAGCAAATTGAGCTGAAGAAGGAAAGATTTGGAAAGCCAGGGACATTGCAAGAGGAATGACGAAGAGAGGGAGGAGCTGGAAAGATCTGTTTCAAATCTAGGCCATCCCCGACAATCAAGGACACCTGACACAGAGGGACAACCAGCTAAAAATGCCTTTCGTGTAACTGTCTCCTGATGTCTTGAGTCTCCGTGTGACGGCTTGGTGTAGGCTGCAGAGAGATGCACTTCCTGGTGCTTACATGCCGAAGCACCCCGGCTGATTTCTTTTTTTAAAAGATGGTTTTGAGACCCAGGATCTTTCTAGAGGTCAGCCCTCTGGTCGGGTGGGGATGGGGGCAGCTGCCAGCTCAGCGCGCATCCTCAAAAGCACTCTGCGCATGCTGTTCTTTTCTGATCATTCGGCATGTTTCCGAGTGGGGTCACCATGGCAGCAAAGTGATGGTTTCGTGAGTCGGGTCCAGAGGCTCCTGTGCTCAAACTGAGCCACGTCACACGGCGGGGGTGTCCCCATGTCCGACTTAATAGATTGCAGTCCTCTTATTTTCAAGGGCTTTCAGATGGCACTCCTCTGTTTGAAGGGGTCTGCTATTTGAAGGGCTGCCCGTCCAAGTAGGGTTTAAAGATGCAGAGCAGAGAGCAGGAGGGGACCTTGAAGTTGCCCACCAGAATGGACAGGCACACAGGAAACCCAATCGACAGTCCTCCCCCACTGTGGTGTGATGTACTGAACTTCTATTTAAATCATAGTAATAACGTCTAAATTTGGATCCGCACATGTAAATTAGGCTTTGCAGTCCTCTTGTGCAAATTTGTGTCTGCTTATGTTAGCTTTCTTTAGTGATAAGTAACCAGCCGCTCGCTGTGGGTTGAACCACTGAGCCTAGGACTTGCCGATCAGAAGGTCATGCTGGCCACATGACCTGGAAGCTGTACGCCGGCTCCTTCGGCCACTAAAGCGAGATGAGCGCCACAACCCCAGAGTCGGCCATGACTGGACCTAATGGTCAGGGGTCCTTTTACCTTTCCCTATCCAGCCGCTCTATCCCACGGTCAAGGGTCTTCCTTAGAATCACAGAATTGTAGAGTTGGAAGGGACCCTAGGGGTCATCTAGTCCAACCCCATGCAATGCAGGAATATGCAGCTGCCCCATACAGGGATTGAACCTGCAACCTTGGCGTTATCAGCACCACGCTCTAACCAAGTGAGCTATCCAGGCTTTATAGCACAAAATAGGAAACGGATGACTCTTTACTGGAGGATTGGACCCCAAGACCCATATGATCATAGAGCTGCAAGGGACCTCTAGGATCTTTTAATCCAACCCCCTGCAATGCAGGAATATTTCACCTCATGTGGGGCTCAAACCCAAGATCCTGAGATTAAGAGTCTCATGCTCTACCAACTGAGCTATGTTTTGCTGCTGTGCCACTCACACAGAGGTGAATCTACTATGAAACTAACAAAGCTTAAGCTTCAGGGTCCCTGATCCCAGAGGAGTCCCAGAAGCGACTTTCATTGCTTAAAAGCTTTGGGTCTAGTAGACCCAATTTGAGTCACACGACTCAGTTTGATTCATTTTTTGTTGATTCAACAATCCCGAGGTTTGAGAGTCAGTAGCACGGATGTTGTAAAGGTGTGGCGATCTGTTGTGGAACAACCCCATTGGAGAAGATAACAGTGGTTTAAAAAAAAGGTAAAGGACCCCTAGACGGCTAAGTGCAGTCAAAGGCGACTATGGGGTTGCGGCACTCATCTCGCTTTCTTTCTTCTTTTTTTTAAATAATATTTATTAATAGTTTCAAAATTACAGGAAAAAAAGAAGAAATTAAAAACAACACTACAATACATAAAAAAGAAGAAAAAAAGCAAAGCATAAAAACCAATGCAACAATACAGCAAAAAGATAAAAAAGAAAGAAAAAAAAGACACAAATCCCATATTACATATCTTTAACTTCCATTTGCTTGTTTCATTGACCTCCTCACACCTCCCTTTTTGTATTCTAGTTTGATTAGTTATTTCAGCAAATTCTTTCCATCTTTCTCAATTTTTATTAAATAATTTATCTTAACAATTTAACCTATTAATTAACTCAACAAATCCTTTCCATCTTTTCCCCATATTCTGTTATTCAAATTACCTTAATTTATTTAACCTTATCTTACCGTAAAATACTTTAGAGCTTAAAGCTTAATACTCGATTATACATAACTCCTGATATCATTTCTACTAGAGTCATATAGTTTCATTCCAACATTTTCCCTAATATTCATTAATTTTAGGCTAATTCCATAGGGGGGAAAAATTTCTTTATAAATTTTCTTCCTATCTTCATCCAACGTCTCTTCTTCCTGGTCTCGGGTCGTGTCCATTCCATCTAGTCCATCAACCTGGTAATCTTATGTCCGAGGCCCTTAAATCTCTTCCATGTCCCTTCTGCAGATCTTCTTCTTGTTGTTTATACTTGCCCTTTTCCTTGTCTTTTGTTGGTCTCTTTCTTAATTTCTTTCCTTTCTCATTGAGGAGTAGGTCTCTGGGGGATTCCAACCCAAAATTATCTCCGTCTCCCTTCATCAAACCAGCCCATTCCCCACAGTCCCACTCCCCACAGTCATCAATGTAATCGAAAAATATTTAAAAGCATATTTCAAGGTCTCTCCAAAGTTAAGAACCTCCTCAGCTCCAGGCTCCCCCTGGCCCACTCCAACTTCAATCTTCAAAGACAGCGGCTTATGCTCCTGTAGGGCCTCGGGTCTCTCCATTTGTATTATTTGAGGTGCAACCGCAACCTCCTCCATTATCTTCTGCACTTGCCCAGTCAGTACAGGTTCCTGAGTTGGTCCCTGAATAGTTTCTGTATCAATATTCCCTGTTTGTCCACAGTTATTAACCACAACAGTCATCAAATCCATTTTCTCATTCATCAAATCCACCTTCTCATGCATCTGTTCCAACAAGGCACTTGTCTTGCATAAAGCAAGCACCAAAACTTCCTCCCAGCTCATATTTAGTCAAGGTCAAAAAGGACTGGTCCCACGATCTTAATCTCACAGCTGTAGAGTCCTCAAGTAGACTGCAGCAACAATTTAGCAAGTTCCCTCTAGAGGAGACAATTTCTATTTGTATCCATTTTTTTAAGGCAAGTCCAACAAAGGAAAATTACTTTCATTTTTCAGATATTTTGTTTCTTTAGAATGCAAAAGGCAACATTGGAATCAGTTTATTTCTCTTCTTTAGCTATCTGTCAAAGTATTCCATTCACAGTCAATGAACCTCTCCAACAATTTCTGTCTCTGACACCCTGTTCCCAGGTTAAAGATGGTGGAAACTTATCTTTCTTCACTCCCTCTCCTGCAGGCATTAAACAAAGTCCCCCCCCCCTTTCTCCTGCTTCCAAGGGGGTTTCAGTAGTTATACATGAAGGAAATTTAGACTTTTTAACGACTTTCCAGGCTTTAGCTTACAAGGTTTTTGCTTCAGTCTATATACAAAAAGCGGAAGGCGGACTTCCTGTTTTGAACCTTCCCGCTTCGGTGCCAAATTAAGATATTTCTTGATCCAATTTTCCGTTTCTACTCACGGGTACTTGTTTTAAATCCAATTGTCCACAGGAAAAAAGTCAGCGCTCTCCGGCAATGGCTGTGCGGCTTCACTCCGTGAAAGTAGCAATCAGTTCGCAGCACCGCGCCGCTCACCCCACTTCACTCCGGAGCCCCAAAATGGGGTTCCCGGTGAGTAGGGGGGGCGCTCCTGGTGCCCTGCCGAACCCCACGTTCCCAGGCTTCCTCCGCCTGGGATTTCTAGCGGGTCCCCACCTTCGCCACGGCGGGAAGACCCAGTTTCCACAGAGCCAGTTCCTCCGGTCGGAGGAACTCCGCCATTCGCCGATGGCGCTAACCCGGAAGTCGGCACACACCTCGCTTTCAGGCTGAGGGAGCCGGCGTTTGTCCACAGACAGCTTTCCGGGTCATGTGGCCAGCAGGACTAAACTGCTTCTGGTGCAACAGAACACTGTGACGGAAACCAGAGCGCACGGAAATGCCGCTTACCTTCCCACCGCAGCGGTACCTATTTATCTACTTGCACTGGCGTGCTTTCGAACTGCTAGGTTGGCAGGAGATGGGACTGAACAACAGGAGCTTACCCCGTCACAGGGATTTGAACTGCCGACCTTCTGATCAGCAAGCCCAAGAGGCTCAGTGGTTTAGATCACAGCACCACCCGCACCACAAATCTCATTGCTGGTTGTGAAGGGGTCCCCAAAACAGTTCAACCTTCAGGGCTCCCAAAATGTAGGTCCGCCACTGCACTCACCTACATCTGAGCATGCACAAAGTGCTTTTCCTTCGCCGTAGGGTAACCACAGTATTTGCCCTCCAGCATCTGGGAAGGAGGGGGGAGTCTCCTGAATGGGAGAAGTGGCTTGCTCCAGGAACAATTTGAGTTCCATTGCCCTTTCTTTCATTTTTTAAAAAATAAATTCAGTCTTAACTGCAGGCCTTGATGGAACCGATCTTGCTGCTGGGATCTGAGTAGGTGCTTGCTGCTTCGGCTTTCTTTCTAGGATAGTATCTGAAAGCAGGAAAAGACAAAGAATCCGTGTGCTCAAGACATCGATTCCATAAAACATATTTTGTTGCATTGTGCAAAATATGAGCAAGCCAGGGCTGAACTGATACTACCCTTGCTGGTACCTTTCCTGGGAAAATCAGAGGCTCACTATGTTAGGTTCCTGTTGGAAGACCGGACAAATGCTAGAACATTAGCAGTGGCAAAGTGTTTCTTGGTGGTTGCAAGAACAAATGATCCCTATATTCTGAACAAAATGCTTGTTTAACCTGGAGGTAGGCTGTATGAATTGTGTATTGCTTTGTAATGATTTGTTGGGTCTCTGGACCATAATAAAGATTGATAAAAAAGACAAAGAATCAGGATTTTTTTTTTATTAAAAAAAGAGCTTGAGGAGGAGATGGATTTCCATATATGCAGAGAGGAGGCGGTTGCACTGGAACCAATTAGAGCACACAGCGCATGGAAAACTCATCTTGATGCCCTACTGCTTCATACCTCTCCCACCGAAAGCCACAGCTCTGGCCCCCCAGTCCCCAAAGCACCTTCCATTACCCGCCTGCTGTCGATATTTAGGTCAGCAAGTTTCCTCTTCTCCCTTAAGGAGGAATGTCAACATGTCCCAGTGCAGGCAGGCTGCAATCAGAGATGCCAGCCAACCTTTACAGGAAGAGAGCAGTACTGGTTTCGTCCTGCTGTGTGTGAGCAAGAGAACAGATCTGCTGGGGGTTTTTTGTTTTTAAGGCGAATGACAGTGATCACCACTGGCTGATCTCGCCAATGAGGCTGTGTGCCGTTCTAAAGGCATCTGCTCTCTCTTCTGCAGATTGAGAAATGGAACGTCAACAAAAATCCAGTTAGGCATAAGTGTTTGAGGCAGCAGGGCCAATGGCCAGGGATGACGGATGTAGTCCAGCAACATCTGCTTCAAAGGTTCCCCACACCTGAAATGAATAAAGGGCACCGATGGGAACGTTCTGATCTGTACCTGCCATCTCTTATGATTTAAACTGTTTTATAATCTATTGAGTTTACCACTGCGGTGTGATTTTATTGTTGGAATCACACCGACATTGCAAACTGCCTCCAATTAAGTGCTCAAAGCAGAGGCATGAAAATATTAAGCCATGGGTAGGCAAACTAAGGCCCAAGGGCCAGATTAGGCCCTATCGCCTTCTAAATCCAGCCCGCGGACAGTCCAGGAATCAGTGTGTTTATACATGAGTAGAATGTGTCCTTTTATTTAAAATGCATCTCTGGGTTATTTGTGGGGCATAGGAATTTGTTCTTTTGTTTTCCTTCAAAATATAGTCTGCCCCCCCCCCCAGGTCTGAGGGACAGTGGACCAGCCCTCTGCTGAAAAAGTTTGCTGACCCCTGTATTAAACGCAGGTAGGAAGATAGTGAGATTACCGTTGTGCAAAACACAACCCAAAGCACTCTGCAAATTAAAATTTGCATTGTATTAAGTAAGGCTAACTAAGGGTGCTTCCTGATAGGGGATTAATATCGTAACCGGGTCACTCAGATATCACAAGCAGGAAATTGGCAATGGGCTTTTTTGGGTGGAATCTACTGGGTTTGCTGTGGAAAGGGTAAATCCAGATTAAATGGGGCTGGGTGGGAAATACAGGCAAGCCGTTTGGTT